TTTCTATATATATATATGTGTGCGTATTTTTTATCAATATCATGCATCCTGCTGACTGAGAGTATTCCTCGTTTTACAGAACGGGCTGGAGGAATGTTGCAAGGCTGTGGCGAAACGGCAGATCGACGGCGATGAGTTGTTGGTAAGTGAATTATTCTATTGCTATGAGAGAGAGAACGGCCGTTTCGAGCGATTTCTCGATTTTCGTCTCATCCGTCAATCTCATATCGCACCGGTAATCCTGTCGTTGACCTATGAGTCACTCGATTATAGAAACGTCTTAAAAAAACAGAGCATTCAGATAATAGAATTTCAGGCTTCTTCGTGTTACCTGAGATTTTTATCGACAAATTGAGTATTCGTTTCAGTATGGATATTGACAAATTGTATTAGTAAAATCCTGAAGTTTAACTATAAATAATACATTAATTATGATTTTTAACAAGGATTTGTATCAATCTTGATTCGTGAGATAAAATTTCTGGATTGTAGCTACGCGCACTTATCGCGTACTTATCTTTTTTGTGTACCTTAAAACTTTGTTGTCAAATACGTGAACGCGTGCATACGACGATTCTCGACGCGAGAAATAAATTCCGATCGGTTAAATCTGTCTGAAAGTGTCTTCTGCGGCGACTTAATGAATTTTCGAAATCGCTGACTCGATTGTAATTAGAGAGACGCGCGTGCCACACGAGCGCGCGCGATAATTATCTACCCACTTCCACTGATAACACGCACACGAACGTGCTCTTTTTTTCCGGTTGCAACAGCAACGTACTTCGAGACGGCCGGCGACGACGCGTGCTCTCTTAACGGGGCCTTAATTAATTGTAATTATTCCAGCACTTGACGGATGGGAAGCTGGCTCTCTGGAAGAGTGACCTCACGCGTCCACTGATAGGGTGAGAGAGAATGAAGCAAATCCAGCTTTATTTCTGCCCGCATCGCAACTATTCCCTCCGCTTCTTTTTCCCCTCTTCGCGGAATCGTGTCTCGCGATCTTCTCTCATAACGCGTTCTCTCTTAACGGTATCGGATTATTCAGTATGCGGACAGCTCATCACGTCAAATACCGTTTACAAATGTTTACGCACTTAAAGGAGTACGGACGTAAGACAGTAATCCGACTAGGTATTCCTTAAATAAAAAAAAATATCCTGTAACGCATGATTAATGTCGTCTCGTTTTTAGGTCATTTTTTTTCTTACAAGTATCTAAGAATCTAGGCTTAGACCCTAAATAATTTTCTGACAGCAAGAAAATGCTGACTTATACGACGCGGCAAGAATGTGGCTACGTGGCTCTTTATATAGCTCGCGAGCTATTTGTCAGGATATGTTTCACGCGACTGGATAATTATTTGATGACTGCAAGTCGTGCATAAATGCATAATTTCATCGCGTGGGTCGTGTTCGATCGTTCCACTCCACATTCGCGTCGATTTAACGTTTTACGGTTTAACGTTTTGCATTGCCGTGTCCCTGATTGCTTAACACAATTCTCTACTTCATCTTGCACGAAGATTAACATTTTACTATAAGATATTAGGCAAATATTCTTTTTTATTGAATATTAATATTGATTAAATTTTTAATGTCCGTCGTAGAAAATTATGGACATTTGTGCAAGAATTGAACAAGACTCCGGAAAAATATCTGCCGAATAGAATTGTAGAAGCGCAACATAATGATGATCACTTGAGCGATAGCGGTTCCTGGGGAACCGATTTCGAGGATGAAACGGTCGAGGAAAATAATTCTACCGAAGACACGCAAGAAATTATAAAGCCAAGTCTAATCAAGAACAGGCAAGTGTCGCTGCAAAATAACAGGATATCGACTAGTAGAATATCGACACGATCGCCGTCGAAGAAAGTAATAAAACCGAAGGAGGAAGAGACTTATGCCAATTGCAAATCGTCTCAGGACGAGGAGGAGAATATGTACGCGAATTTTCAGGAGACGAAGCTACCGCCGACGAGAAACGTCTCGAGGCTGCACAGCGAGCTGGAGAAGACTCTGGCTGGGAAACTGAAATTGGAGCTGGAGGAGTTGAAGCGGAGGAACAATTCGGCGAGGAAACCTGAGATCAGTCCAAAACCAGAGACTCTGCCGTTGAGGAGAATACCGATGACAGCTTCCGATAAGAAATCTCCGCAGAAATCTTTCTTGCACAATGCGCCAAAGATGCACGAACGCGTTCCTAATGAACAAGGCAAAACACAAAGTTAGTTCTTCTTAACTCTCGTCGGATTCTTTCGACATGGATCTTGATGCTTTTCATATGATAATAAATATTGTATTGCTTGTGGTTTCCAGGAAGGATGGGTGTGCCGCCGCCGCCGGAACCCAAGAAAAACAAGGATTACTCGACCGTGGAGGCCAAGAGAGCAGCTGACAAGGAGTTGTCGAAACCACCGCCGGTCATCTTACGAAATTTCGACCTCGTGGCGAATTTGCCGGCGCAAACGGAAGGCAGTGAGGACGAGTACGAGCCGCTCGACGAGATCATAGAGCAGCAGAGGAACGAGATCTCGCGGGTCGACAGTAAGCAATCGTTGCACAGCGGTCGCCAGGGATCGGTCGAAAGCGTTTACAAGCCACCTAGCGCTACGAGCCACGAGGAAGAGGAGGATTACGAGATTTACGAGTCCATCACGGAAGCCGTGAGTTTTCAGTGGCCACTTCAATGGAATTGAGATTACGAGACCTGGTGAATTAATTATCTCTCATGTTTCATTAGCCGGAGGATAATGATTACTTGAGCCCCATTCAAAGGACAAACGATGCACAAGAACCACCCCCTCTACCCGCCAAACCGTCGCCGCCTCCACCGCCTTCGACGCTTCCCAGTAGAACCAGGCCGGAGAAACACAAAGGTACGTGTGTATTTCTCAGCATTATAAAGAAAGTGTGACTAGACAGTCAATTAAAAAATATTACATATAAAATGTTGCAAGGATACATTCCTATATGAAGATTAAATGTAGGTAGATAATAATTTCTTACGTCATATTTTGATCCTAGCAGTGATAATGTTTAATGGAAAGTTATAAATAATAATTAATATTTTTCTTTCTTAAAAAAAAAATAATCTGAAAAACTTGAGAAAACTTCATCTAAATTCTAAAGAATGATTAGATACAAATAATTATTTGCGCGAATTCATTAGTGGGACATTATGCGAGCTGACGAGACGTCGCGAAACGTGCGTTTCAGTGAGCGGAAAAAAATGCAGGGTACCGTAGACTCGAGACGAGAGACGAGTGCAGGACTCACTTGTAAGAACTGAGCATATGTTCGACAAATGCTGCATATCGTTAGTTCCCATACAACCTGATGCGCTTTACCATCGCAATACTGCGGACAGTCGCATATCGGCCACCGTCATCAAGGCCGGATTCGCGCAAACACAACGCGTTCTCTCTTTGTGATAACCGAACGGCGCGTAGAATAGTGTATTTTTCCTCGGTATTTTTCCTCGATCATAGTATATCAACGACGTCGTCGCAGTTCGTAGTATTTTTTTCGTAGTATGCGGAAGTCAAGAGCGAGACCTTTAACCTTTTAACCTTCAGTATGAATAAAAGATCTTAGGGAACAGGATCGACGAGATAAATCGTCGGTTTTCAATTCGAGTGCGGAGGCAACGGTGCGAGACGTCGATTTTGTCAGTGGAATTTCGCGATGGAGTGACTACACTCTTGTTTTCTTGATTGGTATAACAATCTATATATATATACGCGACACTCTCTCCAGGGAAGAGACAAAGCGATAAGTGGCAAGGACGAACGGAATACTAGAGCGAATGTTATTTCTAATCGCGATTCGTACGACGTGCGTGCCGGGAAGAACCGCGATAAGCGCCGCGTGGAAGGATATTCGATAAGGGATCGAGAGAGCGAAAACACTGGGTGATGGAATGTGTTCCTGTTTTTATCTGCGACTGAGCAAACAGCTCCTAGGAGGCCTGGGCACACGCCTGGCCGATGAAGTCGCCGACATGATAGTGCGGATCAAAAGGGGCCTGTCTACGTGTTGTTATTCGCAACCACCCGAGCCGCCAGGTATGCAGAACGATTAAACAACGCATTGTTCGACGACTTATCTCCCCGGCACGGTGCCACGGCGATCGTGACATCGTACAAACGTGAGAATGTTCCAATGGAACATCTGTTCGCTCTTCATTTCGCCAAAGGTCGTCGAACCCCCAGCGGACAGAAATAGATTTCGGAAATTAATTATTTGCTTTCCGCATACATCAATTTTCGAACGTGTCGTACATATGTAATTTGATACACCGATATGTATTTATAATGTGATTTATAATATTTGCATTATAATTTATGTTCGTATGAAGATAAGATTATCCAAATATTACTGCGATATCGGCAGACAGACTGACGTTGTTAGAATTGATAACTTGACGAAAATGCTACCGAAATAATGTAGATAAATCTTACATTATTCATTATTCGGGTGTAACATATTACGTCCAATCTATTAAATCCGAGAACTTTCTCGATGTTAAGAATAAGTACGTGTTCTTTTTTCGCGCATTTATTTCAATAATCGAAATTCATGTTATCGACAGTCATCGCTCACGTGTGATTTCTACGTCTCACGTCTTCGTTCACTGCCTTAGAGAAGATCACAAGGTGTTACTAACAATTTCATTTTCTTTTTTTGAAAGAGAAACCACCTTTATCTTCTTTGTTTCCCGCAATCACCGCTTAGGAGCGTTGACCTTCCCGCTCTGATTTACGGAAGTTATTCTTGAACGCGCTTCGGATGTGTCTAAGTCCCATGCCGAGAGACCAACGGATTGACCACCGCTCTTCTTTTTTCGCGATGCTTTAAAAGGCTCGCCTCGGAGTCAAATGTCAGTTTCGCCGAGATTCTTACGACGATCGTGTCGCGTGTTCGACGAGTTCCTCGAACCGATGGTGTTTCCGAGGAATGCGCGTCTCCAGACGATAAAAGAAATCGACGACATTATATTCCTTCGATAGATCGTCTAAACGCATTCAAGTATTACACGTGACAAATTCGCGACGCAATGGCAACTATAATCAGCGATACAAAACGAAATGTATCGCTCAATTCGGCGGTACGTCGGCAGACAAATCTTTCCGAGTGTTTAACGCAGGAAACTCTTACGCAAGCTCGACTTAACTTAGCAAGTTAGTAATGTGATTGACCTGTATTTTAATGTGATTTAAATTGTGTAACGCATGACATTTCATGATACATCATCCTCATTTTTATGAATCAAAGTTTTTATCGAATTATATACTTAGTTGAATTACTCTTTCAGCAATACAAGTACTTTGTAATATTATACATATTTTGTTTGTAACATTATATTTTGTTTCGATTATTTTGACATTTTATTTTACGAATGTGTAAAAACTTATTACACAATTGATATATGTATTATGTAAATATGCGATAATATCACTGTATCAATTTACGACAATCGCTTGTTGATAAATGTTGATCTTGAATTTTTTTTACGTATTTGCAGAGCGATCACCGGATAAGAAATCAGCCACGCTACCTCATGCCGGCAGCAACTCTTCGTTGTCAGCTGAGAGAGCCACGCGGCCGCTACCACCGCCGCCCGAGAGGCAATCTTACGTGGACAAGCCCTGGTTTCATAGTATCACGAGGGAACAAGCAATTACTCTCATCAAAGAACGTATGCATTAATTAATTTTTAAGATAAAAACTATATTTCTGATACTAAAACTTTACAAAGAGAAACTCGAGTAAAAAGGTACAAATTTTTTTAATTGTCGAAATAAAAATCGTTGGTTAGAACTTTAGAACATATGAACATTGTAAAAGTAGAAACATTTTTTCAACATATTTTATCTTCATTTTTTTATTATAAAATGTTTGTTTACTTAAGACATGAGACTCATGTAAACTTCATTAGATTTGATGCGAAATAGCTATTGAATATGTAATTGTATATTTTCAGAAAGTACTTACAGTAATCCGCAAGACGGATATTTTCTTTTGAGACCGTCGACGACAAATCTCGGCAATCCCTTAACCTTGGTTCTTTGGTACAAGGATAGGGTCTACAATGTTCCGGTCAGGAAGAGAAGTGACAACAGGTATATTCCTTGTTCATTAATTTCATTATTTTAAGACGCCTTTTGCCATATATTTAACAATGGAATCTTAGCAGTGGAATTTTAACTGTCGTAAGAAAAATTATGTTAATGTTGTATTAATCTGATAAATGATTGGACAAAATCTTAGGACCAACATTTTACTAAAATTTTAATATTTCAGTTTATCTTATTTTGTTAGCATGGAAGCGACATGAAAAATTCAGTAATAACTCGCATGCAATGCACACGAAGCTATTTTTTTTAATTAATTACAAATAAAATTTGATTTAGAATGTTTCTTAAAATTCATAATTTATCATTATTTTCCTAAAATTGTTTAGATACGCGTTGGGCACCGCGAAAGTGAACGAGCTGTCGTTCTCGACGGTCGAAGAGATCGTGACGTTTCATATGAAAGAGGAACTCATGCTCCACAGCGGCGGCGTACCGACCGGAAGCACGAGATTGACTGATACTCCACCAAAGTGATTTTAGTCCGCTACGTCCGATCCCACTTTGAGCTTAAAGGGAAGGAAGAATCTTCGTTGATAATCTCGCTGTACATAAGAGAGTTTTACGTGCGACATGTATGAACACTGCCGAGCAAATATTTTTGCTAGACATTACGACAGTATAAAGAATACATTAGTAGGCTGACGAACAAAGAAGTTAAGCGGTGTGCCTTTGTAATATTTATAAGGTACGTAAATTAATCCATTCTCGCAATCGCACAAAAACATTATTATATATTATTCCAATGAAGTTTTGATTCTCGATTTCTATGTGCAATATTTATCTCGACGATTACGCGTGCCTTCAATAAAATGACGTAAACGAGCTCGATTATTGAGCAACGGATCTCTATTGCGGTAAACGTTATATATTTCTAATATATATCTCAGTCTCTTGCTAATCGGATAGACTTGTGGCTGATACGGCGTTTAAAAGTTTTTACGATAAATTTTGTGAATGCTTCATTAAGCGGGGAAATGATATATATATATATATTGTATCGTTATTTTTTCTATCAGTATTGTTATATTTTCTATCTATGCGTCGGTCACTCGTTTGATCTGTGATCGATTGGTGATCGATCGCTCGTGCGAACGTAGGATTATATCTCGGTTTTCGAACCGACCGATGTGATGGCGTGTGTACGGAAGGACTTTATTAAATCTTTCTTTAGGAAACTACAGAGACTTCACTATGCGTACGAGCGCGGGACGAGCGCATCCATGAATGAAATGGCGCAATATTGCCGATCCTATACACTCTCTCCCGGGGCGGCTGTTTACGTTCTCCCCCGCCTCCTCTCGTCCACCACCCCCACTCCCCGTCGATCGCCGATCCAATTTTGTGAACGTGAATCATACATTCATACGGACCGTGCATGCACACGTCTACGCCGCTCGACCGCGTATTTCGCTCGTCAACGAGAATGCGGACGATAACGATAACGCCGGCCGAGCCGCCGGACATGTTGATGATAAACGAAAGTCGCGACCGTCGTCGTTGTCGCGCGGTCAGTAGTGGAGTTCCGTCAGTGAATTCGATTTCTGTTGCTCTCGTGGGGAGAAGCCGGTGCCGTGCCGGCGCTCGGTTGTCGCAAAGACACTCTCGTGTGTTGCAACCGTACAATACCTTATCTCGCCTCGCGCGATCGCGACGATCGTATCATCTTATACGATCCGTGTGCGTGCCCGTGAACTTTGAGCTAAGCTAATTGATGGAAGTAGAACCGTGATGTTGACTTGGGTGTCATGAGCCGATACGTCTAACGGGATCACTTAAGAAATTCTCGGAGGAGGAGAACGCTTGCGACAAATAAATTAGGTATTCAGGTACTATACTTCTTATTGAATGTTTCTGACGTAAGAGATAATATTCATTATGCCGGTAGGATTCGTGACATTCGAGCGCTAAATGTTATCTGGTATAATAATCTTTCCTTGATAATGCATAACGGGGCGTATAACGTGGTTGATATTATATCTGTTTACTTGCTGCGCACACAGAATCCTCCACAGGTTTAATTAATTTTCATTACTTCGAGTAATTAATATATTTAATTTGAGCGAAAATCTTCAATCTTTGGTATTATAAGTTAAACTGCATTCTAACGAAAATCCAACTAAATTTCATCTATCTAGTTCTTTGAGCTTTTCTGTGAAAACTACTCCAATACTTTTGCCAGGAAGAAAAAGGAATTTTTCGGGGATTCAATTTCCCGCTTTCCGCAGGACAGGTTTGAAAGTACGCGCGAAAATAGGCCGCGATGACGTAAGATGAGGCCTAGTTACATTTCGAGAACGTGTGCGCGATGTCGTGGTACCTCCCAGTGAGTCGTCCAGTGACGGATCCGCGCGGGGAGGGCGAGGGCAAGAGTGCGAGAGAGAGGGGCGGCGGGATGAACGGATTGTACGACGAATTTGTGCGCACCGTCTCGTTAACTGTTGACAAGTGGAGCCGTCAATTGAGCGCCTCATTCAGCACGATCATTTAAGCAGCTTTTGTAGGCGCGGATCCGAGCGGGGCGAGAAGGAGGGGGAGGAGGAGGAGGCGGCGGCGGAGGAGGAAGAGAATGCAGTCGTGATCGGTGAAGCTCCAGCCACGACCTGGCCTGGCCCTTGGATGCGATAAACAATGTTCACGTGAGTCAACTGCGCTCCGCGAGCGAGAGGACGGGATAAGGACGTGGGGGAGAGAGAGAGGGAGAAAAAAGAGGAGAGATTGGAGAACGATGTTGTTGCCTGCGCGGGTAGATAAGACGTGTTAATCGTCGGGAACGCCGCCCCAGGAGCAATGGACGATGAACAGCCGGCGAGGGAGGCCAACAAGATCTGCGGAGTATGTGGCGACCGGGCGCTCGGCTACAACTTCAACGCCGTCTCCTGCGAAAGCTGCAAGGCCTTCTTCAGGAGGAACGCGCTGAAGAACAAGGTGAATTCATTTCCCCTCCCCGATTTGAAGCACCTTTATATGATTACCTCGCAAGGGAACTAAAGAATCTCAATTCCGCGTTCCTTGAATTCCTTACCTGGGCACCAATCATGAAATTTGTCGGAATGGATTCCGATCGGAATTGTCCAGTTATTCCCTAAATTTTTGTTTTGTTTTTCTACGGAAAGCTGAATAAATTCCGATCGGACTGGATTCCGATCGGAATTTATTCAGCTTTCCGTAGAAAAACAAAACAAAAATTTCATGATAGGTGCCCAGGAACCTTGAACTCAAATCTAATTTCTTGAATTCTCATGCAGACTCTATTAAACTTTCTGTTCACAATTGCTTCAAAAAGAAATCAATTTTATCTCTTAGGATTAATCTTAATATCGAGAAACTTCTTTCTTAAATTTAAATGTGACCTATAAATTATAATTAGATCATCATTCCTGAATTATTAAATTATGACTCATAATAATCTGATGAACTTTATGAACTATAAATTCTCAAAAAAATGGATTGTATCACTATATTAAATGTATTAAATGTATTAGTTATTGAATCGTTTCTAAGGAATTTGAGAAGATTAATTTTATTGTTAGTATTAAAAAACTCAATTTAAATTTAATTTGTCTGGAATTAAAAAAAAAATAGATTAAACTATTCTTAAGCCAAAAAATTTCTTTAATTATCTACATCTAATTAGTCATTTCAATCTGAATACCTTGTTATTGAGAAGAACTTTATTGGCAGATTCAAATTGAAAGTAATTCTTTTACATTATCTATATTATGTACATAATTTTTTTATGAGATGATAAAACTGATTGAGACGTATCTCATTTGACCCCCTCCCCCCAAAAGATTAATAACGGATGTATACAGAAGATGCGGTAAGCTTAAAAGCAACATCTGTACATTTAAATTTATTGACAGTGGACTGTTAAGAGCTACTAGATAAGATGTGTTTTTTCTTTCAGATACCGCGCGCGCTGTATTTTTGCGTTTAAAACAATTTCTGTCTAGCAGAGCAGAAGATTATTATGATTTATTTGTGAGACTAATTGAAAACGTGATAGATGCAGATATTAATAGAACAAAATTTTTTTCTGCATGATATTTTTTAGATTTATAAGTTACCAATAAATAAACAAAATAGCATACTTTTTGCATGAAGCTGAAGAAAAGCATGTTCTTGTTGCAGGACTTTAAATGCCCCTTCACGCAAAACTGTAGCGTCACAACCATAACCAGACGATTTTGCCAAAAATGTCGTTTGGATAAATGCTTCAATATTGGCATGCGCAAGGAGTACATCATGTCTGAGGAGGACAAGGTCCTGAAGCGCAAGAAGATCGAGAAGAACCGCGCGAAGAAACGGACCCAGTCCGACAATGGCAAAACGTCGAAGATCAAAAAGGACTGCGTGGACGACTGTACGTTCGAGGACACGTCGATGTCGGTCAATTCGGTCGCGTCGACGATGTCGGAAACGTACTTTTGGGAGTCCGACAGAAAGTACACGGACCTGGACGGCAATAGGCAGAACGTCGTCGAGAGTATGAGCCCAGTGACCGCGGCGAGCGTGCCGAGTCCCTCGAGTCCACCGGAGAACACGAACATCGCCGAAACGAAGACGTTGGACATGCTGAAGGAGTCCGGTTCGAGGTCCAATCTTGCGAGGTACGGCAGACTTGTCTAGTATGCGTGAGAACGGCGCAGAAATGAAATATCGATAGATAGAGATTAAACAGGTATTGTGTTCTGTTTACAGCCACGCGAGATTCACCGATCTCATTGTGGCGCCTCAGAGCGCAGGGACGGACAAGAGCTCTCCTCCGAATTCGGGGAAATACGAGCAGAATTCGTTGCAATTCAATTCCGACTTTGTAGATATTAACCGCGAGTCGTCGAGCTACGGCTCCGCGTTCGAGGAGAATCTGCCCAGTTACTCCAAATTCGAGCAAACGCGCGAACGGAATTCCCCCTTCCTGTTCGTCGATTGCGTTTCGCACAGCGGGACAGGCCAGTCCGACCCGAGCTCGCCGTCGCAACTCACGAAGGAGGAGGAGCCATCGATATGCCAGAAGCCGAAGGAAACGTGTTCGAGCGGGAGCAACTTGGTCGCGAAGTTCAAGCAGGATCCCGGCCTGCTGGCAAAGTTCGTCAGCGATCCGAATTTAGTCGCCAAGATATTTCAAGATCAGAGGGTAATAATGAAGATTATGACGGACCCCGATATGGCCACGTGCCTGGCGGCGGATCCGTGTATCGCGCAATTCTTGGAGAAGCACAACGCGGCCGATACGACGGTCACCGCGCGTGACCGTGATGTCAAAACGAAAGTTCAATCGAGAGAGGCTGCGCAGAGTAATGGCAGCTCGGCGGCTGATTCCAAGTATACGCCGAAAGCCAAAGGGAGTCACGTGGACAATCCGATTCTGACGGACTTGATTACGAATCGTAACGCGGAGGAGTGCAAAAATCAAAATTTGGAATCTAGTAGAAGTACAGACTGGAATAAAAATACAGCTGACGTTACTAGAGATGTTCTTCAGGACGTTCAAAGGTAGCCCGATACGCGTCATCATGAGTATCATGTTTTAACGACGCGCTGTGGAATCCGCCGCTGCAACTTTAATTTTTGTTTCAGGATACCAATTGCTGCTAATTCTATAGAGTCTATCTTATGTGAGGCCATTAAATTGGAATATTCAGCGTTTTCTAGTTTCGGTGGTAACCAAAGTAGCAGGGAGTTGAATGACGCCGAGAGAGCGAAATTGAACGAGCTGATAGTTGCTAACAAAGCGTTATTAGCTCCGTTAGACGATGACATAACGAATTTGGTTGGCGAGGAGTGTAAATTCAAGGTAAAACACATCTCGAAAATTCATGTCTCGTATATGCGCAATAGGAAATGATCGATAATGAATTATTTACAAAATATTTCTTTGCAGAATAATTTTGGACAATCTGATCCAATGTTGTTAGACGTTATAAATTTGACAGCTATAGCAATTAGACGCCTGATAAAGATGTCCAAGAAGATAAACGCCTTTAAGAATATGTGTCAAGAGGACCAGTTGGCTCTGCTGAAAGGCGGCTGCACGGAAATGATGATCTTAAGGTCGGCCATCAATTACGATCCGGATAAAGACATGTGGAAAATACCTCATAGTCAAGAGAGCATGTCGAATATCAAGGTTGACGTTTTAAAGGAAGCGAAAGGAAATCTGTATGCGGAGCACGCGAGATTTGTCAGAACGTTCGATCCCCGGTGGCGGGACGAAAACATCATTCTGATTTTAAGCGCAATCGCTCTGTTTACTCCCGAAAGACCGAGAGTCGTGCATGGCGATGTCATTAAATTGGAGCAGGTAAATCGGCTTGAAACTTTTTAATTAACTTGTCAGTCTGAGACATTCTTATATATTAATATTAAAATATATGTACATAATTTAAAGTAATTTGTATAAATAAAATTTAGAATAACGTGGAAGTTGGCAGTCAGTTTATAACATGTTTTATAGCAGATTCTTATTTTTTTTTATCTGTGATATAAGATCGATTAAAAAAAAATTCGCTCGACCATATTTTTCATCGATTTCTTTCTTCCAGAATTCGTATTATTATCTCCTCAGACGGTATCTCGAGAGCGTTTATCCTGGCTGCGAAGCTAAGTCCACATTCCTCAAGTTAATACAGAAGATTTCTGAACTCCACAAATTGAACGACGAGGTCGTGGGAGTTTACTTGAACGTCAATCCATCCAGCGTGGAACCGCTGCTTATAGAAATATTCGATTTAAAGCACTGATTATTAGCTTGTAAAGTGTCGTGAGTTTCCACTTTGTGTGTACAATCGGAGAAATTGAATTAACGCATTCGAATATTGCATCCTTTGCGCTTCGTGTATTCCTACTAAGGTTATCCTTAATCGAGGATGAACCGCGTGTTGGCTAATATCGCCAATCCGGATAATTATAAAAATGTGATTATCGTAAGTCAAATCTTCAACTGCATTGCCTCTTTGTATAAACGGTATCGTGTAGCAATTTAATCTTTAAATATCTTCAAGCGATGTGGAATGAAGACTTATACGTGTAAAATATCGAAGTAGCTTAAAGAAAACTGGAAAGTACGTGCGGCCGCGCGTAAAAGTCGCCAGGAGTCAACTACACGTAGAATACGGACGTTGATACAGATGGCTGTCAATGTCTGTTGTAGTTTAGTAGCTATCATCACAAAATGGAACGGCGAGCAATTTACGCGCGTCAATTTCGAATAAAGTTTGACTAAACTTTAGGATACTAATAAGGTAAGCGTGCCGTAATCAACAACAATATTTCGCTTCGTAGCAAGCACATATTGTATCATTAAGTATTTCGCGGAGTATCTTTTTCGATATCGTGCTCACTGCGTACTGAGAATAAACGTGCGCGTACAACGACAGCATAATAATTCCTAGGGTGGCTGTTTCGGTCATTTTTCTCGGGAAATAGTCAAATATATATATATATATATACATATATACACATATATTTTTTAATATGTGGACCGTTAAACTTTAAGTAAATGAGAAATGTTGTTTAATGCGACGTGGCCTGCTCATATATATTATATATTGTATAATTATAATTATGTTAAAAATTTGTTTTCTAAAAAATGAGATTCCAATGCAAACTCAACTATATGAATTATGGTAGTTCAGCTTTAGCCAGTGTCTAAATGTAAATGAGAGAGAGAGAGAGAGAGAGAGGGAGGGAGGGATGTTATACTTGTATGTGTGTTGCCGCAATGTACACGAGATAAATTGTGATATATCCTGATATAAATATATTTTTCAAAAATTACGCTGTAACGTAATTTCACGCCGGCGATAAGACGCTGCTTAAGACGCAAATGAGGCTTCTCTCGTACTATGTGCTTATATTTCAATTAACAGTAACGATAATTCTGTTACATCACTCACCAGATACGACACGTCTCGCCGGATCTCCCTTAATCATCTGCGTGCGTTTGTCGGTATGAAGCCAAAAACGTACAATATGAGGATTATTACCGCGCCGATTAAGCCCGCGAAGAACACCAAGCTGAAGATAGACAAAAGCAAATATAATGCAATTTTAATGATCAGAGAGAAAATCCACGATACGCAGCTGCACGCCGTCCATAAGCAGCCCCATGCCGTGTCCCAGATGGCTTTCAGTCCCATCGCTTTTATCGCTGTGAAATACGGTGCGTATAAGGGAAAACAAAATCCATATCTCGATTGCGCTATAAAAAATTACTCGGGTTTTTTTGTTACCCTGTTTATTTTTTCAAGTTTATCTTTACGAGGATAGTGATACACTAAAATGCGTCATTCTCCGCACCAGCGCACGCTCTAGAAGATTTCATTATATTGCTTTCGTTTTCGTAGAAATTTATATACATACAATCGATATTTACAACTTGTAATTTTTACAGAAACGATTCTTTCATTTTTTTTTCCCGCAGATCTGTGTTGCTTATTATTTGTATAGTATTTAGATTTGCTACACCTGTGCTTCTCGTAATCGCTCCTAATCGGGATCGCGATCTTTCCGGTTGTTCACAATCACGCGAGATAATCCGTTTGTTACTTTTGCAACGCGTTTGCAGATAAAATATTTCAGCGCCGAAAGCTAGAGAACGCTAGCACATTTTTCGAAACTTTCTCATTTATTTGTCTTATCACGTACTTTCCCCGTTTCCGTGAACGGGAGCACTACTGCCGGTATGATTTTCGTCGGTATGATTTTCGTCGGTATGATTTTTCAATTCCACCGAATGTTCTTCCTTCTGCGTTTCCGGATAACGGTCGCGCTTGTAATGGAAAAAGATCTCAACGTTGCTGTCGTACGGCTTGACAAACTGACAGTTGATCTTCTCCGCGGCCAGGTAGCAGGCGCCTAACGCCGACGATGTCGTCAAACGCAGCAGGCTCAACTCGTCTACGACGTGCCTGTCGTGGATTTCGTTCACGAAACCGTTCTTCATGTATTTCCACGACTTCCATACAGATCCGACGCAGATCACCTTTAAACCGCCTTGAGCCAGTTTGAGATCCTGAAAAAAATAACGCAAAATTATTGTTTTCTTTCATTGTTGAAGTTTTATTTGATTGACAAATTAAATCACGTTTTATCTCATTTTCTAAGATACTGACGTTATGGGCCTTCTTCGAGACGGCGTTAATATGCTTCGCCAAAAGTTGTCCAGCTTCCTCGAAGAGCTTCAGGCAGAGCGGATCGCCCCTATCGCAGCCGGTCGCGACTTCCATAGTGAACTCGGCAATGGTGCTTTTGTTGAAGTTTTTATACATATACGGTAATATAGCGTTTCTATCGGTCACATTGAAGTAATTTCTCATCGCCGGCCAAACGTAGCTTATTGGCTCCGGTGCTTTCACGAAATCGTCGATATCATCGAATACATATTTACAGGCGCGATGGGCGATCCAGTAAGCTTGAAACATTGAGGAATTTATTTAAACGAGACTTTACCGAGCATTATTAATCAAAAGAATAAAATATCATTTACGAATTTTGTTTTATTCATAGGATAAAATTAAGTTAGATTCAAGAATTTTAACTCTATTTTAATATTTATTTTTTTTCTATTAATTTCTATCTATTCTAAATCTATTAATGAAAAGCTAATTTTGAATTTAATTTTGGAACTAACTTTCCACAATATGTTCTTTTACAGTAAATAGTACGTACCTCCCCCCTCGTCGCCCATCATGTATCCCCATCCTCCGCAATTATGAGTCGTCCCGTCCGGATTGATCAGCAAAGCATTGCTGCCAGTTCCAGCGATCAACACGATCCCGCCGGATTCCAGGCCAGTCCTAAGGCTGCCAAGAGTATCTGAACTAATAACATAGTCCTTGGCGGATTGTGGATATTTTTTCAACAAAGTTCCCACAATCTGACGATTGGTGGTTTCCTCCTCGCAACCGCTTAAGGTAAGTCCCTGTTGATGAAAGAAATCGCCGAATAAATTTTCTCTTTCGAGAAAATCAAAGTCTATTCTATTTAATCGAAGATTTTGAAAATTGAAAATGCCACAAAATAAATACACAAAATAAACTAGATCGTTTGTCCCAAAATTATTTTAAGTGACATTAATGTGCCATTTAAAATAATTTTCGATCTGTTACATTCATAATTATTGCAGTTGTGTTTGTGCAATTATTAAAGTATAATTACATGTAATTATATGTTACTGATACCGAAAATACTCTATTTTTACTTACTACGCAATCTAAAGGAACGGTTTCTGGTATATCTAACGTTCGTTTACCCTGCTCGATCATCGCGCTGAGTCTGGCAGCTGTTTCATCTATTCCGATTGTCTAGAAATAAATCAAATCTCTGCATCACTCCTTTGTGATAATTTTCCTCAGCAAAACAACATTTTCATAATTATTCGAATTTTTTTGAAAGCGCTGTGGATTTTTTTTTCAAAAATTCCATTGAAATAGCTTTCTCCCTTGATTCGCGCAGCACTTTAAAGATAAGCCATTCGTATCTTTTTTTTTTTAGTTACCCAATGATTAGTGTCCGGTCCTTTAACTTCTGTTAGCTTGGCACCTTTTCCATCGAGTATTACGAGTGTCGAGTGTGTACCGCCTCTGAAAGTTAATTAATTGATCATCATTAATGAGTGACCGATTGATTTCGCGAATCGTGACGGAATATTTCCCGTTGAATTTCACTCCTGAATATCGTGTATCGAAAATTCTCACTATGCATGTACAGCGCCGAGTAATTACATAATCAGTAGTTACATTTTCTCTTATTCAATGACTCGATTATTTTCTTAATAAACAAAGATATATATCGACGAAGATACATACACTCAGCGGGAGATATGTATGCATGACCTGTCATAGTTAAGCTCGGATTAATGAACGCCGATTGCTGCTATCAGTGCCTGAGATATCCTGTGTGCGCGTCTCTCTTTCTCTCTCGTATAAGAATTATAGGAATCATTCGGTATCCTGAATCGAAAAATTATTAAATATTTTATAATAATAAAACGATAAATTAAAATTCCTGTCTCCGGAAAGAAAAGAGAGAAAAAGAATAACATTCGGATAACATTTGTTTTTATTATTAAAAAATCACTTCCGATTCAGAAATATCTTTTGTGTAAGAATTGTAGCAATCATTCGATATCCTGAATCGAAAAATTATTAAATATTTTATAATAATAAAACGATAAATTAAAATGTCTGGCTCCGGAAAAAAAGGAGAGAAAGAGAGTAACATCGGATAACATTCGTTTTTATTATATAAAAAACCACTTCCGATTCAGAAATGTTATCGCATAAGATGTGGAACTTAGTGTTTTTTAATTTTGATCGACATATGTGTAATTTCACTACTTTTTTACAGTTTGCGAAGTATCAATTATAATGAATCGCGTAGCGCTGATCGCATCTTGCTTCCTATTTAAAAAATCAAGATTTTAATTATCTGCGCGGTTACAATTTTGCGAACAACGGCAGTGATATATTTGCATTTCTCTTTCAATCTTCCTCGATGAAGACAAAAATAGCCCCTTTAAATATGCGTAACTTAACTGCGACACGATAAGATAAATTTTTTAATACGAGGCGAGAGCAAACGCTACGTCGCGAAAGAATGAAATAAGCGAAGGAAACATCCGAAATGAACGCACGCATTGTCGACCAGCAATGATCTTCAGATTAACGGCCTTCAGTTATCGATCGTGCCATTATTTCGTTTACAAAAGATAAAATTGCAGGCGGAAGAGCGAGATACGTATTTCACAAGATTGATATCATTCCGGATTTTCCGGGTTGATTTTTAAATGGAAAAACGAAGTTACACATTTCATAGAATTCAGTATCTCGCGTCTCCGAGAATTAAACTTGTTACATCGTACTTGCTAAAGGCCGCGAAATAACGCAACGTATCATAAAAATGTAAATATGTAAATATTTTACGTTATTTTTATTGCGAGTCCTACTGTTTGTTTTGTTTATTTGCTTATTTTGCTTATATATAATCATAGATAAATTTTAATTGTCTCGAAAGAGAGAGTTTAACAGAATTTCTCTTTGTTACAGGAGTTCGCAAGAAGATTCAATTAAATTGAATTAATTAGATACGATTGGGAGATGAAGGAACTCACCCCTCTATACCGCCGATCCTAATATCCTCGGAGAATTGCGGCTCACGCAGCGTAAGCGTCGCAGCTTCCTGCACCAGGTCCGCGGACTTCATCATCTTCGCCTGCTCCCTCAGCTCCCTGCGTAACTGATACTCATCCACGATCTTCGGCTTCTTCTCCTTCTTGCCCTTCTTCTTTCCTGCCATTTTTCAAAATCGCTTATTCAGTTTCCTGCGACGAACTTCGAAGCTCGATGCGGACGTGTCACGAGGATTCGGCAGGATCTGGATGTGACGGGATAATGCATTGCAGGACGAAATTTATTGCCAGCTGGATAACTCAAGTAATGAATTAATTGAATAACGAGTGAACATTTCTAAATAGCGTTATCTATGATGCGTTCTTAGGAGCAATTTGAAATTTTATCACATGCTTTCTAATATCAATTTATTGCGAAAAATTGGAGCGTGATGGAAAAATGGACGTGATTGAACAAATGTGTGACTCTATTTAATGCTTATCAAATCTAGCAAAACGTTATTTCCCAATTATAACTCACAGTTATAATACTTGTTATCGTTTTCATCATCAGTGTTATAATCAAATTTAATTGCTAGAAATTATTTGATTGATAAAATATCGTTATTCGAACGGATGCCGCACTTCCTGCAGTCGATCAGATTAGTCTTTTTCAATCAATGATTATGATTGTTATACGTAATTTTGACTTTAATGACAAATTTCCGCTGTACAAGAACGCGAAATGCCCAGAAGCTGATAATCATTAGCACATATAATATATAATTTTCATATTAAAATCGAACAATCTCGCACACACATAAGATCAAGTAGACTTGCTTGCGGGATGGCGTTTGCATTACTATAGTACATACGTATACTTAGCGACGGACGACTTGGCACGTATTCACTTCATACTAAAAAAGCGTTTTATCTCGACGTAGCATGGGAGATACATGCTCCGGGAGATAAAAGATACATGCATAATCATTCGAAAACAGATTGCTGAAATAGCGACGGCACGTTACGCGCCGTAATACTGCCGCCTCCGGACGAGGGAGAGAGAGAGGCAGGGAGCGTGTCTCACATATTTTCGACGCTTCGAAAGCGATACTTATTGTTAGCGATGTTAGTCCCTTACGCTCTTGCGCTCCGCAATTGCGAACGGCGTTGATTATGCACAGCATGCTATTGGACGTCAAAGCGCGAATTGCGAGCGTGCCGTTATTGAATTATTGATAGCAGTCTCTTCTCTCTTTCTCTCTTTTTTTCGCGCAGAAACCGCGAACGCCTGCGTCCCGACAAGCGCACTTCGCCTATTCGCACACGTGGCGGCTAAATCTTGATAAACTAACGAGAAGTAAACACAGAGTCATTATAGTGAAAAAAATATAAAAAAAATACTGTAATTTAAAAGAGATGTGGGAAACGATTTCAAACTTTTAACTTTACTTTGTCGTAATTCTTCCTAGAAGGAGCGACTTGTAAAAAAGAAATTAGTATGAATATAATAATGTACTGATTAAAGTGCGATCCATTGATCAACTCCAAAGTTGGCGAACTAAGGAAATAAACGGTCATCAAAAAAATACATGCAAGAAATGTTATGTAAGAAACGGTTAATTCAAGAAACAGGCCTAAGTTCAATTTTTCTCACATGTAACATGTGATGTTAGTAGGAAAGAAGCTAATCAAGTATAAATGAGAAAATATATTAATTTACAATTTGAGACAATCTTTTTCAAGTTCTACTGATTCTCTTTTCAACGGAGAGAATCGCGAATCTCTAAACAGAGCAGTTTGTGTTTGTATGTGTATACGTGTGTGACCAGGGCGAAAGGCATTTAAAATCCTCGCTCGGGAAAAATCGCGCGTCCTTGAAACCGGTTCCCGATAAACCTGAATTGAAGCGAAGGACGTGCTCGGCCCTCCGATTTTCCCAGGGTTCGAAGGGGGAGGAGGAGGGCCGTGCCGATATATAACTCACCACGAAGACTCTCGCTCTCCTTCGGAGAGCCGAGAGAGCTGAGGAAACAGGCCGGATGGTGAAAGAGAGAGCGCGTTCAGTTCGTTCTGGCGTGCGTGCCGACGGTGAAAAACATGATACTTTTCACCGGTCTTTCCAAAAAAAATGAAAAAAATTCCGCGAGAAACTATCTCGGAGCGGAGTGCCGTGATCCAGCTGGGAAAATCGCCCCGTCCCCGTGGCGGCGTGAACGAAAGCTGCCGATCGTTTTTCCCCGCCGAAGAAACGAAACACGATCGACCGCACCGCGCGACGCTGCCCCCGTCACTGCCGGCCCGCCGTCGTCGCTCCGCTCCGCTCCTCCTGCCTCCTTCCTTCCATTCCCGAATCCCACTCCACCGCGCGTGTCCCACGCGTCTCTCCGGTCTCACGTGTCGCGTGCGTCAACGGACGCATGTCTTCTATAAAATGTCATCGAACCGAAGAATGGGACGGGACCGGAAAGGTAGATTTCGAATCGTTCACGGATGGAAGAGCGGCTTCGCGAGAACGAACCGTATAAGCTGTACAAGCGACTTATAGTTTTTTGGTTAACTGCCTACCGCAGATAATTTCTGAGGCGCACTACGTTAAAAATACTAAAATAAATCACTTTTACCTTCTATTCTGAATTTCTGAATACAGAGGATAACACATATTTACATATTGCTTTTATTGATTTACACACACAACATTTATATATATACATATATTATATCGTTAATATACTCTGTCTAGTCCCTCCACTTCTTTCTTCTCGTCGATGTTTCCGTTTATATTTATGGAGTTGATCCGCAGCATCGTGTATTGTATTCTGTAGACTGAAAGACAGAAACGTCGAGCGTATTAGTATGTGAACGAAGCGGAGGAGCGAAAGAAAAATATCCCTTTGATGTCTTACAGTTTATACGGCGATACTGTTTCCTCGGCTTGAACCTAAAGCGAGTCTTCGTGTGGGAGAGAGTCTTTTCTATGACCGTCGCGTCGACCGAGACCAGTTCTCTGTTCAGGATCGGCCTGCCCACGAGGGTGAAGTCCTTACTGCCGACCAGCAACACTTTCTCCAGCTTCAGCTGATCGCCTATGTTCGGCGGCCAGAATCCCTCGATAATTATAATGTCGTTTTCCGTCACCTTGAACTGCTTCCCGCACACTTGCACGATCGCGAACGCACGGCCGATCCTGTCCGTTGCGATCTGACTGTTGATCTCGCTTGTCACGTCTGCAAACGAGACGCCATTCGTTAGAACTCATTCGTAAAAATTGAGTGGTTCTCGTACAGAGATAAGTTACCAGTGCATATTTTCTCCCTCTCTTCGTCCCACTCCTGTACCTCCGTTTGATAATCCGGGATTGGTCTCATCCATGGTGGTTTAACCACTCTGTACTCCGCTCTTGGCATCTCCCACAATCCTAACGCTGAAACAAGATTATTTCTCAATATCTTTTACATACTGTGCAAAATCTTGCTGGACGATTACATGCCTTCGTCTCAGAATTTACATATAAAACTGCATTAATAGGTCTACCATAACATTTTAATGCAATGAAATGCAATGCTCAATATTTGTCTTGCACCAAGTAAAATTTGTCAAAATTTATCACTTTGTCCTTTTGCTACATGATTTTATGTATCTCGTTTCGAAGTTGCATCTAAAATTATCGATAGTACTTTAACTTTTCATAAAATTTTAATCCAATAAAACATCGATATTTCAATCTTTAAAATTAAAACCTTGAATATTGTTTACAGTGGATGGGAAGGGAGGTTATGTTTGCGTTCAAGCAAGAGGTTAGATAACTGTTGCGCAATTTTTGTAAAATAACAATTCGCAATTACATACCGGGATAATATTGCTTGCAAATTGCGACCGGTGCCACTCTTCTCAGACAATTACTCGCCGCGTAATTGAGGAGTCTTGCGAAACCGAGTAACGTCGCCATCGTGACACACGCGGCGCCGGCGGAAGAATAAATAAACTCCAGGTGGACGCGTGAAAACGCGAATGTTATCACTTATCAGTCTTTTTGCAGAAAAATAACTTTTTCCCCGCAAAAAAGTTGTTTAATGAATAAAAATGAAATAACGATATCACAATTGATTGTAAAAGTTCTCCCGCTGCCAATGTTTTTTTTATTCATGGACGAGGAGAAAGCTGGGAATTATTAAAGGCTCGTTAATTTACTTTAATTACTTAATTCATCGCGCTCATACAATCTTTCTTTTTGTGTGTTAAACGCAAAATTAATAATTCATTCACGTTAACAGGATAATATGTGTATCGCACACACGTTAATCTCTGAATAAATTATTCGGGTTTCGATCGAGCTCGCGCGCTCTAGTCTAGAGCGTTTATTGCGCGCGAGCAGACACGTAGGAGCGAAGCAGTCAGCAGACTGCGCGCGCACCGAGTCATCGTACGGTTCCGGTCGCGCGCGCGCACGCGCCATCGACGGCCGGGCGGTCGGGTCAGTTTCCGGCCGAGTGTGTGACGACTCACGGACGTCCGACGAGACTGGTGGTGAGTGGTGATGAGATTGCTTGCAGTGCTTGCCGCGGAGCGCGCAGAAATGTCGCACGCGTAAACCGCGCGACGGTCGCTTGTTATGTTTGACCGTCCCGCCGCGGGTGATCCCGGTGATAGTCGTCGCGTCTCCGTCGCAGGAACGACCGCAGCAGCCCGATCCAGCGGACCTCGTCATCACGGTCATCCCGTCTCCTTCCTCGCCGCCTCCCCGCTGTTGCCGCGCTCGGCGCCCACGGTTCGGTGACACGACACGGCGTCGTCCCGGTGCGACCCGCGCGCACCAGAAGCAGCATGCAGTTCTACAAGGACAGGCTGCTGTCGCCCGGTCAGCTGAAGCGGCTCAGCGAGCACAAGTACAGCTGCACGAGCAACAGCCTCCTCGACGGCCTCCTGCAGCCATGGTGGGACTGGCTGGTCAGCAAGGTGCCGCTCTGGCTCGCGCCCAACCTCATCACCGTGCTCGGCCTGATCGTCAACATCGCCACCACCCTGATCCTCGTCTACTACAGCCCGGACGCGAGGGCCGAGGTGAGGGCCGAAGGCCTCTGCTTACCGATCTCGCCTAACCTGCCCTCCGGACAATCGACCGCCTGTATTCGCCGCGTATAGTTCCATCCCGCTACGTCCTGGTCTTTCCGCGCGCGTATCTTCCGTGACGCGCACATTTTCCTTATCGCGAAAATTAATGAACTCCTCCCTGATTGTATCGAACGTCGTATCGTCGAAGGCTGTTTGCTTTTGATAAGCTGTCTGCTGTGACAGTTCTTGTTAATGTTTTGAAGTAGCTCGTACCCCACTAGCGTGTCGTGTCGTTTAAATTTTTTGCAAGTGAAAGATTCATCAAGATCGCGCAAAAGGTCTTTCGATCAGTCGTCAGCGGCAAAATCTAAAAAATCCTCAAATCGAAAATTTTCTAACATTTCTGACATGTTAATTGCACAAACGCATGAAGTTACGAAGCAGAAAATTGTTTGTTTTCGAAATAACTTTGTATTACTTTTCGTATGATTTTTAAAATTTTTTTTATCAGGATAATATTTCCACACTCTCAGGTTTGCACATTTGAAATTACTTTGATCGATTTATTGGTAAATTTTGCAGAAAAAAGGTAGCATAAAAAAAGACATAATTGCTAATCATTATGAATCGATGAATATTTTCTGATTGTAGAGAAGGTATTATCAGCGAGTATGCAAATAACGCGAATATATAATGATTCATCAATTGTTGGGGCAGTGGCATGTTTTGCTCTTATATAACGGTCATTATTATTATTATAAATCTAGTATCATCTATGCAATTGTGTTCAAATATATCTTAACTTTAAAACAATTGAACAGATGTAGACTGAAAAGTCTTGATAACATTTATAATCCATATAATAAACTGAAAATGTTATAGCTGCAATAAAATTGGCTGATGTATTATTTTTTGTTTCTTTCAGGCACCTAGATGGGCATGTTTTTTATGTGCACTCGGTCTGTTTATATATCAGAGTTTAGACGCTATCGACGGTAAACAGGCAAGGAGAACCGGCACGTCTACACCCTTGGGCGAGTTGTTTGACCATGGATGTGATTCGATATCGACAGGTGAGTAGATGCCTGTCGCACTGTCTCTCGATGTTCCTTGCATTAGAAACGTTTTAATTACTGATATCTTTACCCCCTTTCTTTTCAGTGTTTGTAGCTTTGTCGGCGTGTATAGCTGTACAATTAGGATACTACCCAACATGGATGTTTTTCCAGTGTTTCTGCGCAATGACACTTTTCTACTGCGCTCATTGGCAGACATATGTGTCAGGTATAAAACCAATTTGTATATAATAAACAGAATAACGCAGTGCATGAGTTTTGTTTAATTATATTTATTCCAAAATGTCGTTTTTCTAATTAAGGTTCCTTGAGATTTGGTAAAGTGGATGTAACGGAAGCACAGTTTACAATCATAGCTATTCATCTGATTTCCGCAATCTTCGGTCCACAAATCTGGATGATAGAGGTTGTATTATTTTCAATTACGCTTTCTGTATTTTACATGGCAAGAATATCTTGTGTAGCAATTGAAACACGTTTCTCTTTTTTTGGCTTTCTGCACGGCTGCAGTTTAATAAACAGGAAACATTAGTTTGCTTTGCTTTTTTTTTTTTTTTTTAAATACAATTACATTATTATTCCAAATTGTTACTAACGCAAGCTGTTCATGTAACTATACGCTCTTGTGTAACCACTTACACTACCATTTTTACAAAAATGATTTATGTAGCGATATTTTTGCCAATGATAAAATTAGCTCGATACTCGAATCTGCATTTAAAAAGATATAACCCATAGTACAAGCAAAATTTAAAAAATTTTGCTTATGTTGCTGTGGGTTTTAGATTTTACGGTAAGTAATTTGGAAGTAGCTTGGCACACATACATTCATAGAATCCATATTTAAAAAAGTTGTAAATCTACAAAATTAATATAGCCCTCTTAATTATTTTTATTACATCTGCTGGATATATAAACTAAAGAAAATTATTTCACTAACAATAAGTCTGTTAGTCTTTATTTGGACACGTAAAATTCTCAGTGACGGAAATTGAATATAATGTATGCTATTATGCTCTGAAAAACAATGCTCGATTTCTTGTAATTTATATCTGACGTAATATTTTTTTATACCTATATACACAAAAAGATAAAACATATATTACTACATTATCAGAAGTTACACTTTGTGCTGCTTAAAAATTACCCGAAAGATTTTTGCTATGAAAGATTTCACCTTGGTATCCACGATACTTGCTAAAGTTAATGAGAGTACCATTATACATATACATATACATATACATACAACGTCATTTAATAAAGGTATTTTTTGCAGATACCATTCTTAGATGGTTTTATGTTTAAGTATTTATTAGGAGTTATGACAGTGGTGTGTGCACTGGCAAATTTGTATTCCATATTTTCGGTGATTTTCACCGGAGGAGTGGGCAAGAATGGTTCCACTGTGGCTGTAAGTCTGTTAACTAGAAATATTTTATTGAACATGCAGAAATGGGAGCAGCATGGCATGAGGAGCGGCGCTGAGATTACTTCTTTACTGCAAAATATTTACTGATTTTTAACACGCATTTTTACTTCTGTATTCCCTACTAAATTATGCCCCCCCCCCCTTTACACTCTTGTTTTCGATAACCTTATATCCTGCGATTCTCATATGACTGATAACTGTACTTGTTCCATATGTAAATTCGCATTTTCTCAAATTTTCAGCAAGTTGTTAGTGTTTCAACATATTGTAAACATTTTTTTCCTGATACAAATGATTTTTTTTTTTTTTTAATGTAAAAATTAGACATAGTCTGTGTGTCTCTCTTTTGACGTATTCATAATGAAAAATCTTGTGTCTATGCATCAGTTTCTTTATAAATACATAATAATGCTCTTTTGAAACAATTTCAAGTCGGGAAATTTTTTTCAAATAGTTTAAGAATTTTAAGAGAATTCTAAGTTATATATTTAAATTTTTGTATAAAAGATCTAAATGTAGATAAATATTAGGAAATTTCTTGATTTTCTCATTTGTAGCAAATGTACATTACATTCTTTTTCATATTACGCTTCTGAAGAAAATACAATAAGCACACTTGCCTATATAGATAAAATACTGAGCTTGCGAAATTTGCATTAGATATAACAAATACGGCAACAGAAAAAAAAACTGGTTTTCTTTGACATTGAATTTATGAGACGTGTTATTGAGACGTAAAGGGCGAGATAGCCTTTAACTTTCGACTCATCGTACTCAAATCAGCTGCTCCCTCGTGCCTTACCATCTTGCAGTTTTTTATTGCAATAAGAAAGAAAGCATGTTCGTTACGTTTGTACGTGCAGTAAATACGACCACAGATAGAACTAAGCCCAGAGAGGTGTTATTGCGGCAATTTGGTATCGAGAGATGTAATTTATGTATAAACACAGTACATACACATGCAGGTGTACACGTATACAAGAACATGCTGTAATGAGCATTTCTCATAAACGAACGAAGATCTTGTCGCTTTGTTTAGATCCCTGTACTCGGTGTAGGCACGTTGAATAACTACATAGCAGTGGTCTTTTATGCAGGCTACGTTCACGTGTTCCTTGAATTCTGTAAAGTCTTTGAATCTGGTGGGATTGGAAAAAACGGTTCCACAATTGCAGTAAGTCCCTTAAAGAAATGGCATTTTCTCCTAGAGAGCAACGTATTTTCTCATATATCTTTTGCCATTCTTGTACAGTAGAGATGTTGTCTGTTTGGTACATTTCTTCATTTTTTTTTGCTTGCTGTCCTCTCTACCTCTCGATTCTTCTTCTACTGGGAAAACTTACGTCGGGTGTTTGGTTGGATTACTAAACATCTATGTATGGCCGTCTGCATATTAAACCACCAGAGTGATATTATATCTCGATATCTCGCACAATTTATATAAAACGTTTCTTTTGTCTAATAAAGAATTGCGCTTAATATAACAAGCTCTTCAAATAATCTCTTTCTCTGCTCGAGAAATTTATGCTTCTATTTAGCCTACTTTTATTGTTACTTGAATTAAGTAATTGTAACCTGGATAAGAAAAATGCTTCTCTAGATTTAAAAAGGATGTGTTATTAATAATAACTTTTATTCGTACATACAAAATTTTATAATGTCATATTTAATTGTACAAAATATAAAGTTTTATTTACTGTGCAGTTTTTACATCTCGATTTCAGTAAACAGATGTAAGATATCTGTTTTAATAAGAAGGATATTATTCGCACTTATTGAAACTTGCTATACGTAGCTTATTTTTATGAAATATGCTTGCAAAGAAAATTGTGTGTGTTATTTTGTATGTGAAACGAAAAAAAAGACCAACACTTTTTTGTGTATGACCGAATGCTGCACAGTGATAGCTTTAATTTCCTCAATTTTTTTTTTTTATTAGCTCAGACTCGGACTTCGCGTCACTAAATATTATTTCTTGCACTTATTTAATTACATATTTGTGGTATTGTAGCAGCAAACTCTTTGTCCTGCATCTTTATAATTTATAAATAAATTTTATTATTTTTCCCTCGAAAAAAAATTTTTTTTTAATTACGAGGATTATAAACGATTAGCATATTGCTCAAGATAACAGGAAGGAAAGAATGTCAAAGTTCCATGTATAAATTTCCGTGCACATTTCCTAGACAATAAATAAAACATGAGGCTTGCATCACATTTGCAGTCTGATTACGAACAGCAGCCAGAATTTATAAAAACAATAAGACAGTATTTATAGAAACAATTCGTTCAAATTTGAATGCGTATCAAGTAACAAAAATATTTTATCGTATATAACATTGTATGTATCTGTTCTATTAGTTCTGTGATAGCATTATTAGGATTGTGATTAATACGGCGTTAAAACGAAATTGTTTCAAAAGTAAAAACAGCAGATGTACTTTTTGAGATTTAGCTAATTAACATGTCAGGAATATACGGTGTGTAAGAAAGTCCTCGACGCGAGGCTAGCCTCTGATGACTAACCAAAAGATCTTTCGTGTCGCTCTTATACAGTTGCCATACACTGGCACAGAGGTGAAGGTGTTTCCGTTATGGGCTGCTGTGGGCATCGCTATTTTACTTGCACAGAGCAGCATATCCGTCATTCTCGCCGGTGGTGTCGGAAAAAATGGCTCCACCGTCGCAGTAAGTCAGCTGAAGAAAAACAAAAAGTAGTGGGACCAATTGTGTAGTGCACAATATTTTTGTCTGATTTTTCTTTTTATTTCGCGATTTAGGCCCATGCTTTTTGAACACGTCGCGTAGGTGTAAAGAGGGCTCGCTTGGAAGATCTTCCTTATTATTGTAGCGAATTAATAATGCGTTCTAATTTTGCGTCTCACTAATATTTAAAAAAAAACTGTATGAAAAAAAATAATGATAAAGTAGATTTTTGTTCGTTTAGACGCAACGATGGGCCTAAATCTAATGGCGTCGTGTAAAATTACTCATCACTGTGTTTTCACTTACGTTAATATTTGTTAGATTACATACTTCTCCAAAGAGAAATCCATGTACATCCCTTCACCTCTCGCTTCCTCCTTTATATTTTGCAGTTATAGAATAGTTCTCTCCGATTTCGTTTTTTTTTCCGATTCTCGGAGCCGAATTCTTGCATGCACAAAGTTGTAGAAAAGTAGAAGGGTAAATTAACAGTTTACTAAAAATGCTGTGTATCGTTTTTTCTTGCGAGAATTTGTTTTGTCTATGCGTATACATTATAGGTGTGTTCAGGAAACGCACTGTCAGCGCAATCGTGTCATTCTATCCTTGTTTGATGTTTAATGAACGATAAAGATAGAGTGACACAATAGCGCTAATCGCGCGCTCCGCGAACGTAGCCTGTATATATTGACATGCATTAGACGAAATTAATATTTTGTATTGTAACCATATAATTAAACTTACGTTTCTTATAATTTTATATATATGATGATTCACTTCCGCATTTAACACATTTGGATTAATTTATTTACTGCATTGTAATTCGAATGAATGTAATCATACTTTAATTTCTCTCTGCATGTTTAGATATAAACTTTGCTTACTGTACTTACTTTTTCTTTTTTTACATATTTGCAGTTTTTCTTCTTAAATGCATATATGATAATGATATTTGTATTATAACTATATTAATTATGAAACACTAAAATGTGACGCTATATTTTTCAAGAAATTGTTTTACGAGTATAAAACAGAATTGTATATATGCCTCTAGTTTTCGCTACATTTTACATCGACATATAATTAAAATTTTTTTATATGTTGTTTAAATATGCGAGATATGTATATCGCGTATTTAAACAACATATAGGAAAATTTTAATGTACATTTTTCAGATATTTAACGTTTATCGGATTAAGTCTTTGCACTTAATCGGACCGCATTGTTTTCTTTTGCAAATATAAATTAGCGCACGTAGATTTACTATAAATATTCCCTTCAGTGTTTCTGCATAAGACTGATTTTGTTTTAGGGAACGTCAGTTTTATCGCCAATTATACCATTTAGTTTTGTGGTAGTGCCGGCTTTTATAATATATAGAAAAAGCGCCGAACACGTCTACGAAAACCATCCAGCTTTGTATATACTCGCGTTCGGAATGGTGGCGGCCAAAGTTACGAATAGACTAGTGGTACGTATATTATACATTGTATATTTACAATAATACCATTTCTTCGCGATAATAACAATTTCTTGTGACGTTTTCCAGGTTGCTCATATGACGAAAAATGAGATGCAATACTTGGACAGTTCGTTAATTGGACCAGCTATGCTGTTCCTTAATCAATATTTCAACTTTTTCATCAAAGAATACTACGTTCTTTGGCTGTGTTTCGTAAGTCATCGCTTGAATCTTACGGCATGATCTTTCACGATCTCGATAAATAACGAAATGCATGTGATCTTTAGATCTGGGTCACTCTGGATCTCTTCCGGTATAGTGGTCAAGTGTGTCTTGAAATATGCGATCACATGAAGATCAAGCTGTTCAGGATACCCCTCAACCACCACACAGGCACTATCCAGGCTAACGCCGCCGAGAAAAATGGTACTAATAGGTCACAACGTAACAGATTGCATAAGAAACATCATTAGGATCGACTGGTGATAATGAATGCTCTGTATGATTCGTGCATAAAGCAATCGTGATATGTAACGAAGTAAAAAACGCTTGTTGAATTTTGTGTACATAGACGAATAGTACAGTTCATTTGTTATCACGTTTGTAATTTACGAACTGTCGTTTCTAAGACTAAGAATTTAGAAAATGAATAACTTGAGATTAAAAATCTTAGTTGAATGGATTAGCGATTATTACGAATTTTTAGTAAAACGTACCGTGCATCAAAGCAAAAGAGTGCTGCTGGATCGTATAATAAAAACGGCACTTGCTCCATACTTATAAGAAAAGAAAAACGATAAATTAATCTAGAATGTTTGAGAGAGACGTAATATATATATATGTATACATATACATATATATGCTATTTATGAGGATGCTACGAGTTTGATATGAACTACATTAAATTTTTAAATATCGATCTCTGTTTTCGATATGTCTGATTCCGATATGTCTTGTTCATTGCCGTAGGACGTTTGTTATAATATAATAAAAATTACACATCAAACGTGCAAGATCAAAAATCCCTTCGTCGTTTGTAAAAAAGTAAGTTTCTCGAAACTTAAATGTCTAGAATTGCTTTCTCATTTACTTCACTAAATTTATGAGTTATGTTTTTTAATAAGATTTATGATTATTTTTTCCATAATTTAATGACAATTTGTCGATAACGTCTTAAACAAAGATCTGAGCAATTTTATGTTTTTTCTTCAAAAATTTCAATTAATAAGTTGAGATTAGTATATATATTTGTTAAAGTTTGTAAAATATGAAAAGAATTTGTTTTAAGTATACGATGTTTATCGAGTATAACACATTGCGTGAATTTCACTTTTGAAATGTATAGTTTTTCAATCGTATGGAATGCGTCGTGAACGTTTTCTATTCTGCTTTTATGCGTGTGCTCGTGTATTTGATAACAAGAAATGTTTTTAACGAAGATACGATAAATTTATGTGAGACGTGTTAGAACATTAAAAGAGACTAAAGATAGTTTCGGCTTTGCACTAGATACGTTCGTTTACTTATATGTCAATAGATACGACAATAGATACAATTAAGACACTTTATTAAACGAGTCTATACACAAGTGTCACATAAATTCTGTGAGAGAGAAGCGTATTTTAAATATACTTCTACGTATTTTACATAAAACGTTACAAGCAAATGTGTAACAAATAATCCTGGGGGTTCATTCTCTAAGATGGTTTCTTTTTTAATATTAGAGAAGATCGGAAAATTATCATTTACATCTAAAACTTCAATATTGATCACCGTTTCGGCAATTAAGTTGTACTCGTTTTCTGCTATTACAATTAACAAATACTGCGTGGTTCTTTCGTAATCAAGTTGCCGTAATAATTTTACATCAACTGTATTGCGATCTTTATTATCCTCTAATCTGAAAGGTATAGGATCCTTGTCACTTTGTGACATTTTATCAATCGCGAACCTATATAGCAGTCCCGAATTGTCTGTGGAAACTGCTTCCAGATGGACAATGCTGGCATCAAAGTCATTAAAATTTTCAGGAATCGTAACTGGGTTGTCAAACCGCGGTAGAAATATTGAAGTTTTATTAAGCACTTCCTGCACTGATAATTCACGACCTTCACGACATAATCCATCCTTGCTCTGGAACTGCGATATCACGCCCGGGTATCTCGGTTGACAGGATCTTATTGTAGGCAGATACATGCTTAACTCTTATTTGTACATTATATTACGCGTGTAATTTTGCTAGTTTAATATTTCCTCTTGAAATAACGATTAATTAATAATTTTTATAATAATTGAAATAGATGTAAAGTGCAACATGATGTATGTTAGGAAATGTTAATGTTCATAATTTTCTATTGTATTACATATTTTTGAAAAAAATGTTGCTCTAGGAAAATAATATATAACAAAAGGAACGTCTTCATATTAGGACAAGAATATCTTAACTGCGTTAACTTTTCTTTAAAAGGTGATCTATTGGAATTCTTTTCTCATTTCTATTGTGTATTAACAACAATTCCGGAATTGATTACATTATTGCTGTAAATAGATGAAGTAAAATGATTACTCTAATTAAATGTGTTCCTTTGGAAACAGTGCTGTACATGTAAATGTTACATGGAATGAAATGTAATTTTATTGAACTGTACCTCTATTTCAAATTTCTTTTGAGAACTGTATTATATCTTCTGGATAAACAAGTTTATTATAAATTGCTATTTTTTATTCTAATTTAACCGATCTTGTCAGAAAAATTGTCTTAAATCTGTCTTTTTCTTTCGAAAAAAGACTAATTCATTTAGTAAATCCAATATTTTATGTTATTATCTTGTGATATTCAAAAAAAGTTGTGTTATTTTTAAAAGAAATAGATTTATCGGACGAAAATGTAACAGTAAAAAATGTATATTGTGGTGCATTCAATTCTTTAGAGAAAAACAGTTAATAATAATAAAAGAATTTATTTATCATGCGGACGATATGCATGTTTGCGCTTTTGTGTTTCGCCAAATTCGCTTAAAATATAACATGGGAAGGTAATGTGATTGTCATTGTATGTAAACGCGATGGGAGAGGAAATCTGTGTTAGGATTAATATTAATATATTTTATATATAATGAAAATTCATCATTTATACTTACAAACTTATTATGTATGCCAATATAATATTGTTCGTATTGTGTGTACTTTATGCATGCTATGAACTGTGAGCTGTAGCTTCTTGCACGATCTCGAATCATCATCTGCATGTGCTAATTGATCTTTTTTATCTCAAGATAAGCTCTAATTTATCCATACATTTGATAATATTAGTGTTCAACTTGCTACATTTAAGTAGATTAATCCTTAGTAAGGAAAATCGGTAAGGAAAAAAAGAAACGATGCTCAAAAATCACACATCAAAAGTCGTATTATAAATTATAAGTTCTCGCAATCTTAACTATAGCGGATATGTAAAATGAGCAATATTAGTATCGTATGGACAACTAATTGTTGATTATTTTAAGAATCTTAAATGCAGTAAAACTAATAGCAGTAGTGAAAGATGCTTATCAAATTGCATCGATAAAGACACCAAGTTTTTTTTTATCGAAAAGGGTATTAATGTCAGTAAAAATATTTTTTTATTATTACAAAATATAAATTGCGAATTATCTGTCTGTATAAGAATGCACGAAGGATTTCCATTTTTTCATTTTTGCAGGATATTGTATATCCGAATTATTTTGCATGTTTTTCTGCCTGCTGCTTGGACTTTGCCTTTAAACCGTTCCGAGAAAAATTCCAAATGTGAAAAATTTTGGTTATATATTCGATTATATTCTACTAATAATTGAACAGTATATATTTCTATTTTTGAAGGTTTTTTTTTTAGAGGGAGCGAACATTTGTGATTAATAGAGGAGATAAGGCATAGATGATACATAAGATTAATTAGCTCATATAATATTGCTCGCTTGAAGTTGTTAACATTTTAGGAAAGATACATAAGTTTGACACACACAAAAGCGGTATTAATATATTTGTTTCAGCATGTATTTTAGACAGGAAACTTAGGTAGGGTTTTTCTATGTCCATACGTACGGAAAATGTAAAAATGTGTCTGGAGTCGAGAAGTGTAGAAGTCGAAAGAAAGAGAATTTTCGTTCTTCAATTTTTTTTTTTACATCTTTCATTATATTTGGGAAAGTTTTAATCCCATATATTGTACAAAAAAAAAGAACAGTCATAAATATACGTGGAGATATTTGCCAAGTTTACGGAGACCGTTGCTTTCGCTTCTGCGCTTCTCGATTCTCGCCGTGAACACACTTTCGCGGGTTAAAATATTCTGACAAAAAAAAGGGGGAAAGATACGGAGAAGGAAACATTGTCGAAGGTGTCGTAGAGAGCGTTAGAATATATGTGTCGATGTTTGTATTCGTTGGTGTGCATGATGACGAGTTTTGTTCACAGTTCACATGATGGTGGAGGAAGAGCCGCTGTTAGACGAGGAATACCATCACGGATCCGACACGGCCGTCGACCTCTGATATATTATATTAGACTTAAAGCTATTGGTTTCTCGATCGGCCACACGCGCGACCACACGACTCGAAACGATCGCGATAACGTCGTACGAGACTGCGGAAAAAAATAATAATAAAAGGTTCGCGTTCGATCTCGCGGGATATCCCGTTATATTGCTGGCCAACACCCGCGAGATCCGCGCGCGCGGCGACGATTGCACGAGGAATGAAACTTATTGTGTGTCTCGCACAGATGCATGGTGGTACCTCGCATACGTGCTCGCACATGCAAAAGAGATTTGTCCCGCATCTCCCTTTTATATCGCAATATTTTGTACGTGCCGTTTCAATATTTACATATACATATACAATTACGTTAGATTTCTCGTCGGAAACAGTACAAAAAAAAGCGAGCATTAGCGATTTACGGTTGAACCGATACGATTGTACCGAGCCTACGAGCGGAATCGCTTTTTTTTCTTGTTACACGTGTGCGCCTGTGTCGGCTACTTAAATGGCATTACTTAAATGGATGGGAGGAGAATATATTCCGCAATATATTACGGGTGTAGCTTTTCGTGCAATGCGCGACATTCGATCGGCGAACTTAAAGTTACTAATTATAGCTTATATCGTAGATGCGTCGAAATCAACGAATTTTGTCTCGTTAAGAGATCTCGTTAAAGAGGATTCCCTGCAGATATCGATGAAATGTATTCGGAATATGAAGGATTGTTGAGGCATTTTTTGATTGAAACATAGAAGCGATATTTTGACTTGCTGATAATATTTGCCGTTTGAATACGAACGCTGGTGAACGCTGCAGGAACGAGTGCTTCTTTCTTGCGTGCGAATATCGGCAGAAAGCTGTTGGCATCTATTTTATACAGTAACAATTATGTAATCACAACGTAAGGAGACGCAACTCCGAAAGCCTGATGCAGGAAATCGTTAAATATATGTATAAGCTAGTAAGACGAACACTACAGTATTACGAATGTTAATCGTAGCTTTTAATTCTTTCGCGTGACTGTATTTTCAATGTGTCGAAATTATTTTGCACGTTCTTTCTTTACTCGCAGCAGAGATTATAAATCTATCGCACTAACGTTAGATTTGTTAAGTTCTCACGAACGCTATAGAGATTTTTTGTCTGTCATCTCGAAACGATTATAGATTTGCTAATCTGTCTAATCTGTGGTGTTCTACACATAGCGTGAGGTAATTGCTGTCCTAAGACGCTCCTATCTCAGTCAACGAAATCGCGTAATTTATTAATTATAAAATTCATATGGTATATTTAATAAAATTTATACAAGCGCGACGAGTTTGCTCCTTCAGATTCTCCCAATTCGTCCAAGATCAACATCAGTTATTTGAACTTAAAAAAAGTCAGGGAGGGTATTAGCTGTTAATCTATGAATTTTTTTTTCACGATATCATTTTTCTCTCTAAGGAACTGTAAATCACGTACGAAAGCGTTTATTTTATTTTATTTTTTTACATTGAGAGCGTTACAATTTTCCCTCGCGACGCGTCGTGCGTCGGAATAAAACGTGCTCGAATATATTAGACTAATCGATGGACACGCGTGTTATACTCGTCGGCGACGAAACGAGTGAGAGGCTCTGCAGTACGTTATTGGCATCTAAGCCGCGGATTTCGAAACGAGGCTGCCCGCGATGTATTCCCACGTGGGAGATTTTTGGTGCAGCCTCCCTCCTGTCCTCTTCCTCCCCTCCCCAGGAAAAAAAAGACGTCGAAGACGGCACCCTTGTCCTTCGCCCCCGCCACCGGTCGCCCGGTCGACCTAGTCGACGCCCCGCAAGGTTCTGGCCCCGTTTTTACCCTCGTGAGCGCGCGCCGCGCGCCCGCCACTCTCCTGCGTACCCCCGGACGTTCAGCTGAATCTGACGGGGCGTTATTGATCCGGCCGGTGACGCCGCGCGAGTACGCCAACCGGGCCACGCGACGTGCCTCTGGATACGCAGGGCCGAGTTAAAGAGCTTACTTTTAAGCTCTCAATAATTGAAGAACCATTTTTTTTCAAGGCGATACTTTTTGGGGTGGAGAGATGACGCGAGCCCGCCTCGGAATTCGCTCGGAGATTCTTTGTCCTACGACGCATGATCGCCATTTCTTCGTCAAATGGACAGCTCGAATTTAATACAATTTAAATAGAGAGATAGACTAATTACTTAAGAGTAATTAAATTAAGATTGTTGAGGAAAGAACGGAGATATTAGAAATTATTTGTTAATGAACTATATAGAAATCTTGTCGACCATCCCATTAAAACGCGAAGAAGAGAGAGATATGAAAAATTATCAAATAACGGGAGGAATGGGAACGGCAATTTGTCAGTTTTATTTGATCTTGCAGGTAGATCGCATTAAAGAAATTAGGTTATCATTTAAGTTGTCAATTAAGTTGTACTATTTTTCACAATAATTAAAATAGTATTAGATTATTGTACGTAATAACTTTTATAATGAGTCCTCTTTCTCTTTTAGTTCTTATTTTAGAAAATTATATTTAAATATAAAAACATGTGACATTTTAAAAATGCATTGATCGAGCACGCTGTGCAATTGATATAATATAGTCGTCTTTGAGAGACCTTATTTGATCGCCAATAAATTAATGTGATTTTGCACGTCCTTCATACATCTTATGTTAACAAAAGAAAAATCATGCGGCCAATATAGTGCCTACAAAAATATTTGCTCTGTCCACACGTATATTCTACGCAATACACGAGGGCAAATATTACACGCGTTCTGCGTTGTACGCTCTATGCCCTATACCAAAAAATCAATACGGTCTATATTCTGTACGACAAAAAAAAAAGAATCGGAAGAGTTTAAGCCGAGTCGAAGCTGAAGGAGACCTGGACTGTCCCTCTAATCGCTCGTTTACTTCGACCGCACTCTTCAACGGCGGCGGCGAAACGAAAGGGATGTCGAACGCGACGGCGGTCGTAGCCTGATAAACGGGAAATAATGGAAATTCACTTTCGGAAGCGGAATCGGGACGGCTTGCGCCGTTACTGGAGGCGCGTCCGGCGTCCGCGGACGTGCGCCTGCCTGGTACCCGCTTCTGGCGAACGATCAGCGTCGCGACGACGGTCGCGAGGCTCCGGGGCGCGTCGGCGGCCGCCAGTGCGATATCGCCGTTTGGCTGATACGGAATACCGTCGGCCTGGCAGTCGTTCGTATGGCGGCCGGACGAGGACCGAACGCGGTCGTTCTCCGCGTTAACACGCATTGCAAAACGTAAGTTTCCCCATGAGCGGCGACCGCGGCGGAGAACTTGGCGTCGCGACGCCGACGTTAAGGGATCGTTTCCCAGTAGAATTCGTGGAGCGATTCCAGATTTGCGCCGGAACGACCACGGGAACGAAGTGATCCAGGATTCTTCCTCTTTTTTTCGCGCAAATTTCAATCCTCCCTTCCCGACGGGGGTTGGTTAATCGAATCTCTCGTGCGAATTCGAGCGATGCTCCCCGAGTGGACGTCGGTGAAGCCGTCTGTCTCTCTCTCTCTCTCTCTCTCTCTCTCTCTCTCTCTCTCTCTCTCTCTCTCTCTCTCTCTCGGCGGGACTCGTGCGATGCCTCGGGATCGATGCGGTGAAGCAATCTCGGAACGGCGTAATTGTTCCGCTCGCGAACTTAAGCGCGGATCCGTTTTAATCGCGCGTTTTCTCGCACGAGTGATGGCAACGAGGAGACCGAGAGATGTTGAGGTAAAAGCGAATTTTGAATTTCTTCCTCGTGACAATCCGTCCACAGGAACGTTCCTCCGTGAATCTGCCGAATTAATTAATCGAATTTCGCACGAGTACGAGCCGCGGCTGTAAGGTCACGATCGACGTTCTTCGAGTCGACATTACGATCAAAGTATCACTCTGCGGGAGTAACAGCTAGAACTACGGCGAGGTCGGCTCGTTAACTGCAGCCGTCGTCTTATCGGAACGCGGTCGCCCGCAGGTGTACGTGCTATTTAACGTCGCAGCTGGGCGCAACGTTTCTGACGTCTGGGCGGGAATAATTCCGGATGTTCGTTACATCGTCTGGTCTTCGCACCTCGGCGATACCATTCGACGCCTCGGGAAGACGGGTTGAATAATTGATCGCGCGGCGTGCTCATTGAGAATCGGGAGAGATTTGGTAAATTGTTAAACGCGACCTTCGCGGCCAGATAATGCATCGGTGAATTTTTGACAAATGAGCCTTCCTCGCAGTCAGCCTTATGATGAGTTTTGCTGTCGCATTTGAGACACGCGTTAACGTCTCCGACCGTTTCTATATAGTCTCGCATATAATTTTGCCTTTGAATTTATATGCCATACACAAAGTGAACTTTTGGAGTTTTAATACTAGACCAAGAAGTGGAGTATGTTACAATTAATATCCAACTTCAGGATACAACATGTACAGGAAAAAACAATCCACATTTGCGATCTTTAATTTAGAACGACGAATTTAGATCTTTAATTTTCCCTATCGCAAATAATTTTATACATATATGCGAGTGATATGTATAGGAAGTTCCTTTTAGTGATATGTATAGGAAGATTAAAAAATTCAATGTCGTTTCATTTTTTTACAGACTTGAGAAAAATGAGTCTGCAAATAAGTTTCTTAACTTCAAGATTGACATCCTTTCCATCATTCAGTTTATCGTTCCAAAATTGAAAGATTCGCTGGCACAGCGACGTAACTCGTTTTTTTCTTGGAAATCTAAGAAATGAGATTTAAATGTAATTTTCTCAGTTTTAAGATTGAGTTTGTCAAGTTGCTAATGAAACGTGCAGGATTAGGCCACCGAACGCCGCACTTTCCGATCGATCGCCCTTTTCATGCACGTAAAAAAAAGGCACGAAAAAAGAAAGTTGTCTGAGGAACGTCTGGATGATGTCTGAAGAACTGAAAGATCTTCAGAGAACTTCTCGGACGGATATAGAGAAACATCCGGACGACGTTCGAAAGATCGGAAACCTCGTTTCGGACGTCGCCGGAGAGCGCTCACGTCTTTCTTCGCGACGGATCAAGCTTCAAATGTCAGGTCCACGTATTTCCACGCTGTAATCGCCTGTCGTGCGGTATAATCGAACACGGAAGTACGTGGCTTCGTGCACACAATTTCCCCCCGTCGGCCTCGTCCCCTTTGCGTTACGCCACAGCGCGAAATATGAGATAAGGCTCGATATCGCGCGAAATTAAACACGCCACGCGCATGCACGTTCGCTCGTTCCCTTTTGTCCCCGACACCGTGACACAGATGTCCCCTTTTGGGCCTCCGGAATCATCGATCTTTCGAAACCTTGGCCGGACCGGCCCTATTGCCCATCCGCCCTTCATGATCGCTTTTCTCCGGTAGGAAAGTTGATCTGTTAAGCCCAACGTCTCACTTTTGTGACCGAAATTTAAGATTTTCAAATGCAACAATAAATAATACCTTCTTTTAGTCCTTTTTTTCACATGTAATTTTCAAAGATTAAAATGATTAAACGTTTAATGATGCCGACCTCATTAATTTGGGGCACTACAAAAACTAGTTAACTGTAATGTAATTAAAACTTCAACAGAGAAGGAAGCAATCTGTGACGTCAACGATCTTAACTTAAGAAAATTTTAATATAAAGTTTAATTAAACATAACTTTACTTTACTTAAACTTAAAATATATAATAATTGCTCTCGAGATGTTGTTAAAGAAAAAAAAATATTGCGCCGTGTTAGCCGAGAAATACCCCATTAAGGCTAACGAAGTAGAAGCGAGAATGTCACCTATAAATTCAACCCGCTCGAGAGTAGTTACAGCGAAAGTTTAATTAATCGGGACAGACTATTCAGTAAATAGTGAGACAGGGACGTCAATTAACTGCGGCCCTTCCGACACTCTATTTATAGGTGGGATAAATAAGCGAGAGAATGGTACAATCATGATTCAAGCTGGAAACGACTCTGAGGAGAGTTCAGCAGCTCGAATGTCCTGTATACTGCATTGTATACAACGGTGACACAGCTGCACCCACATAGATCACAGCCATGGATATACAGAAGAAATTCCTGTGCCCCCGTTTGGTGGATTACCTTGCCATCGTGGGGGCCAGGATACCCGCCTCTCGTCAGCCCGTACAGGTATAACAATGCGGAACAACGGAGCCTGTATTTGCAAAATTTTATGTAGAATTTTATATTTACGAAAATTTCGCGTGACGATATTTTTAATCTATTTAAATTGCCTTCAAAACTGCAGTATTGGGAAAAAGATGCGACTTGAGAAAGGGAAATAATTTTTATTTAAAATAGGTCCCGGAGTTGCTACGTAGATATCCGGTGGAGGATCACAAGGACTTTCCTCTGCCTCTGGATATGGTGTATTTCTGTCAACCGGAAGGTTGCAGTAGCGTGGGACCGAAGCGCACGGCCTTACGAGAGGCGACGTCCTTCACCTTCACCCTCACCGATAAAGATTCAGGTTCGCATCCGTTTTTACATCGCCGCGCGCGGGACTATCGGGGATCCGCACTGCGCTGTAAAGCGTATCTTGCAAATTGCAGGAAGGACGCGTTATGGGATCTGCGTGAATTTCTACCGACCTACGGAAAGAGCGGGGGTCGTGGCTGGCGGGGGAATTTCGATCAAGAGGGAAAAGTACAACACCACGTTTCGCAGGGAAAGCTGGAGGAAGAGCATGGAGAGAAGCACGGATTCCGCCTTTTCTAGGTGAAATGGCTTATAATTATTGGCCTCCTCCTTTGACTTCTACGATTAATAGAGAAATTGAAATAGAATCTCGATATATTGTATATGATATGTTAGACGCATTTATATTTTATATAACTATAAAAGACAACGAAACCTCTTTTTTTCTCGAAACTAAAATCACTGATTTTCTAGAATTGATTTGCGCGCACAATTTGCACCCGACAGAGCGTCCCGTTTATAAGACTGTATCTCTAGCTATTCGTTATAGCGACTATAGGAGCAGTGCAGTGGGTCCTAGTGATTCTGAGAGAGATTGCTCTAGTGGCAGGAGGGATTCGGACACCCCTCAGGTACCCCACGCTCCGAGATTGGAATTCATCGCACCGAGCGGAGACAGCGAGAGCGGCGGCAGTCATTCCCCTTCACCACGCGCATCTCGGAGACGTCAGGTTGATACCACGTTGACTAATATAACAACGCTCTTGCATTCGAAGCAGTTTTTCAATTTGTTCAGAAAGTATTTTAAAAGAATTGAGGGCAACACACATGATCTTACTTAAAGGTGATATTAAAGTTTCGCCAATAATGACTTCGCAATATTCACGCAGAGGGTTCGCAATCATTCCTTGACTTCGCTGTGCATCATCTCGCATCATCCGTTCTTCTCGATGTTCCGTGAGTGTCTTTTCGTTCTGAAGAAGATCATCGACGCGTGCAACGAGAGCTTCTCGCCGCAGAAGGTGGGAGCATCTCGACAGACCAACAGGTGTGTCCGGATTTTGCCAATCTTGTATATAATGGCATAATGGCTTTCCATAATTTCCGAAAGAAAGGAAAAAAGTTTGGAAAACTTCCACATCCTCAACGGGATTTTCTCCGTTACAGAGACACAGTATGGAGCGTTCTGACGGGCCAGGCTCTGGGCGACACGCCGTCCATCGTGCTTCACGACGTTCGCGAGATCGAGACGTGGATACTGCGTTTGCTCAGCAGCCCCGTGCCCGTCCCGGCGAAGACGCGTGTCGAGATTGAGATAATATCGTCGAGCATACAGCCCCCGTTATGTTTCGCCCTGCCGGACCATACCAGGTTCACTCTGGTCGATTTCCCTCTGCACCTGCCGTTGGAGCTTCTCGGCGTTGACATATGTCTGAAGGTCCTCACGCTGATCCTCTTGGAGAACAAGGTATAAACGAGTGTAAAACGAGGTATCGAAAAAAATACATAATTTTTATCACAGCGCCTTCATCGTACCTTTGAACATCCAGAGCTGGAATTCCAGAACTGAACGGATGTTCTTCCTTTCAGATCGTACTTCAGTCCCGGGATTACAACGCTCTGTCCATGTCGGTCATGGCGTTCGTCACGATGATCTACCCGCTGGAGTACATGTTTCCCGCGATACCCTTGCTTCCCACGTGCATGAGCTGCGCGGAACAGTTGCTTCTCGCCCCGACGCCCTTCGTGATCGGGATCCCCGCGTCCTTCCTACTGTACAAGAAGAACTTCAAGATGCCCGATGATATCTGGCTGGTGGACTTGGATAGCAATAAGATAACGGCGCCGAGCGCTTTGTGCGATGACGGTTTGCCGCCGTTACCGGAACCAGAGGGTACCATCCTGAAGAATCATCTGAAGCAGGTAATGCGAACTCGTCAGCGCTTGAGCGGTGATATATATATAGACTTTCGTTACGAATTAAGCTAAACGATGAAGAGTATTTAATGACTCATTACCCTCACTGCAGGCAATGCAACTGATGGATCAAGTTGGCTCTAGTGTAAATATTTCACCAATTCTCAGTCCGCTTAGTGGCGTACCCTTTGTTTCGTAGTTAGTCGCATGCATGATTTATCACGTGTAGAGTCGAGTTGATGACAGCCACACACATTTACTGTAACGCTGTGAAATAAACGTTACAAGTAGTAAATACAAATTACAGCGATCGAAAAAGAGATTTGTTTGTCGAGAATTGGAAATTGATAGTCGGGTAGACAAATTTTTTTGTAATGTTCTCGCCACTTTTTGTTTGTAGATCGGTAACCTAGTCGAAGTAGAAGTAGCAACTAGTAACAAAGTAGCAATGAGCAACGATCATTGTAACAAAATCGTTAATTTATTATTTAATGGATTTCCAGGCGATGGCCAGTATGGCAGGCCCTCCTTTGCCCTCGCAAGACATCTCGATGCGTCTGTCATTTCAGACGCCGAGCAGAAGAGAAAGCACAGCCTCCCATCTTTCCAGCTTAAGGTACGTCGACGTAATTACCATCCACCGTCTTTCGCTAAAATCTATCATAGTATAACAATAAATATATTAAAAATAACATAAATGGAATATTGATTGTAAAACTGTTGAAAAAGATTAGTGCTTTTTGTTGAATAAAAAATCAAAATGTATTCTTTATTGTAATTACGAAGTGCCGCTGCTGTTTAAATATTTTTACAACTTCAAATGCTAATAGAAAAATCCTAATAAACCTTACAGTGTAACCTCGACGAAGCACAGGCCGAGCATCGATCAGTGCGCGCACGTTCAGCACGCCCCATTGAATTCGCCTGGCATGAGCGCTTCATCGAGTCCACCTCGTCGGCCGTCGACGTCGCAGATGATGAGTGGATCCGGACCGGTCGGCCCGTATCCGCCGAAGGTGGCTGGGCAGAGCCCGGCGCCCTTCAATCCCTTCATCTACGGGAACGACGTGGATTCGGTGGACATTGCCACGCGGGTCGCCATGGTGCGCTTCTTCAACTCGCAGAACCTGCTAGCCAATTTCACCGAGCACACGCGCACCCTGCGGCTGTACCCCCGGCCGGTGGTGGCCTTCCAGATCAACTCGTTCCTTCGCTCGCGACCCAGAAAGAGCAGCTTCCTCAGTAAATTCGCGCGCACGCAGGCGGTCGAGTTCCTGGCCGAGTGGTCCCTCACGCCGAGCAACGTGGCCTTCCTCCGGGTGCAGACCGGGGTGTTCGACCCCGCGCAGATCGGCGACAAGTCGCGCTGGTACGCGACCAATCTCGAGCCGATCTACTTTCCCGTCTGGGACTCCGGTAGCTCGCTGGCGAACGCCCTGAAGGCGATGAGGGAACACGAGACTCAGCCTACAGACGAGAGCGGCTCCGATTCCGAGGGTGCCGAGAGCACCAGCTCCTCTTACTCCTCCCTGAGCGACTTCGTCTCCGAGATGGCATCCTCCGATTTGTCGCCGGGTGAGAGATTTTTTTTTAATAAAGAAGGAAACTTAATGTAAAAATGTTATAAATTTAAAGATTACGGTAAAACATTTTAACACTCATATAATTTAAGTTTTAATTTTTAATTTGTTCGAAATTACTTTTCGCAGGTTACAATTGCCCGCAAGTGAGCCAGCCCCAACAAATGTCGCTCTCGGTGGATCCGAAGAACGTTTACAATCCACCGAGTTCCCTGCAATATCCGGGGGTGGAGGAGGGCTCGCCAGTACGAGCCGAGAGTCCGCCGAGCACGTCTTCTAGTCACAGCGATCTCAGCAGCCCGAGCTTTAACAGGGACTCCGAGCTCGAGTTGAATCCGAAAATTCACGAGGGTTCGCAGTCTACTAACGTAAGTGCGCAAACTTCTCTCCACACGATCTCTCCTCCTGTTTTTTTTCTCTTTCTTTCTCTTTCTTTATATGCACTACTTTCTATATATGCTAAATGATTATACTTTATATTTCATGTAATTATGGTCTACATCGTATGACATAAATCATGTCGCATGCACGACATCAGAATTAAAAAAAAAAAATTGAAAATAACGGAAGTCCCTTGGTTCCTTAACATGCAACGCATCAAAATGGTATTTCAAAATGGTTCAATTTTATAATAACAGGCAATCAGATAATATCACTGAAGCGTTTCACGTACGTCGACTTGACTCCGCGGATATTTTTCAATTCATACAAATCGGCACACAATAATGATTCGTGCATAAATACGATACCTACGAGATACTTTCCATTTGTAGTGTTACGTTAAATCACGAAATAGAATCTCCGGTGTGCGCTAACGGATAGCTTGATTATAGGATAAAGAGGAGGGTGGTAGCTTTGAGTCAGACTCCGCGTCGACAATAACACCGCGCACTATCCTGAGCGCACAAGGTTCGGTAGGACAGTTCACGGGGATAAGCATGGGATCTTTAGGCACTCAGTCCTCGCTCAACGACACTGAACGTTCTACCACACCTCACAGGACCTCGCGTATCAGTAGATATGTCACTCCTGTGAGTCATCTTCATATGTGCCTTTAATTCTGTCACTTTCGAATGTTCTCCTCGGATATCACCTTTCAGTTATCATTCGGGGGTTGATGCATGATAGCAACGAAATCGAATGGGATACCGGAGGGAGAATTTCAGGGGAGCGCGTGTGTGGAATGTTTGCTCTCATATTTCTCTTTCATTTCTCTCTCCTTCCTTATTCGTATTTCTGGGTTAAAAAGTATATACTGTTTGAGGAGAATGTTAATAAGCTTCCCGTCTGATTTGCATTTTTATTTCAACGGTATGTCGTTTTCACGATTATTTCGATTATTGTCGTTCGTTTTACGAGATACCCATCGTTTGACAGCATCCATTGCACGTTGTCCCTAAAAAAAAAAAAACGAACATAATCCCCATTCACCTCCCATAGCATTAAATGTGATTACTCCAGTTGTCTGACCTCTAGTCTGTTATCTCGCACTATTTCTTCTCAGCATGAAACAAATGAATGAGATTTAATATATGATGCACATATTTTCATTTCATTTTATTCTCTGAAGATACGTTATTGCATATTGATACTCGTGTAATATTATACGTCTCTTTCTTATCGATCGATATATACATACACGGAACATACATTTACATGTACATGTACATACATACATTGAAATATCCTTTCATCTTTCTTCTCGCCAATACACGTCCACGAGTTATGTTCGATTATCTATGAGTTTAAAGCGATTGTATCCAGAAACACGATCGGTCTTTTTAATACATGTATATATGCACAAAAATGTGATGCACTGTTTGAATTACAGTGAAAAGTACAACTTTTCTTGTAGTTATCACTTTGTCAAGTACAAATTGTTTTATCTAGACCTAAATCTATACTATTTCAACGTGACGTCCCCTGTTGAAGCATGACTAACTTTGTTGCCTCATATCTTGAAACTTAAGGCCACGATATAAGTATTTCGTAAGTTATATGTGTCGATTAGTGTGTAATATTTTCAAAAATAAAAACAACACTCTTTCTATTACAAAAGTCTTGGAGTTCTTTTTTCTGCTGCAATCTCGCGTGCCTTAAAAGTTCTCTATCGACAATTTGCGTATTATGAATTTATTAATAATATATAATTATGAATTTATTAACAACTTTCCAGAATGAGCAACGCATTACAAGCATTTTATGCTATTAAATTTCCTCTTCTAGTTTCGAGAAAAGGAATTTTTCAGAGACACGCGGGATTAGAGAAGATTTGCATTCGATTCACTCGAGAAGATTGTTCTTTTTTTTTCATGGTGGTTGTGGACAATTTCGAATGCGTACTCTTTTCCAGGTACCACCCACGGGACCAGGTCTGCAACGTCAGCCGAGCGTCGGCAACGTCCTGGCGAGGGCCTCCAGCTTCAACACCGCCGGGCCTCTCCTGCCGCGGCAGATAAGCGCGGTCACCACGGCCGACCATCATCACGAAGCGACGCAACTTCAGCGTCAGGCATCGGCGGGGCCGGTGATCATGCAGAAATCCAGCAATGACAACAACACGATGCAACGACAGAACAGCGGCGGTTCCACCTCGACCGGAAACGGTGTTCTCCGCCAGGGCTCGCAGGGATCTCTGTTCGAGCAGATTGCAAGCCAGGCGAAGGACTTGATGCGCGAGACCACCAGACAGAGCAGCCAGGACGGGATACTTGCACACATGGACAAGGTGAAACATGGACATGTGTGATCATATAGGATATTGGGGTTCTTTTTGCCAAACGAACGTTATCACGTATCATTTTTTTTTTTTGAATGCATTAGTAGTTATTTATTTATTCAATTTACTTATTATTTGTCACAGTTGAAGCATCAGGCAAAAGAAAAAATTACGGAGGCAAGTGAGGACAGTCTATTCGCGCCGTTGGAGCAGGTACGTTTTTGTGAGACGTCACACACACAAAGTGTACGAAATCGAACGGTATGCTTAGCTCGTTTTATTCATTTTGAATCAATTAGTTGACGCAACAAACGAAGAAAGCGGTGGGCGAAGCCACCAAGTCGGTGCAAGAGGTGTCGAAGACCGCGCTGGAGGCTAGCAAAACCGCGGCGGGCGTCAGCAAAAACACGTTGGACGATCTGACGTACGTCGGCAAGAGCACGTTGGGAGACCTGACGAAAAGTGCCAAAGAAGCCGCCGCGAAGAAAGGCTTGCTCAAGGTACTCTCTTCGACGAAGAGAGCAGTGTCTTTGATAGCGTCGCGCTAAAAGTATCTTTAAGTCTTTCGAGATCTTTAAAGTTGCTCCAATCTAATATGCTCTTCATTAGGGTCTCGGAGACTCGCAACAATCACCAACACACTCGCCGCAATCTCCCAATATGACGCAGCAGCGGAAGGATTCAGTCAGCAATCAGTTAGTCGCGTCTGATTCGCGGGGCGGGGTCGGACGGGACTTTTTCAGCAATATTAGCAGCGATCTGAACGGCTTCGCCGCGCAGACCAGCAGTATGTTCAGTGATTTATTCGGTACGTTCCGCATTCTCACTCTCGATAACTGTTAAACTACGAGACATTAATAATTTATAAAATTTTTCACTTATATGATAATTTTTATGTCATAAATTTTAATGAAAACATTTAATATTTTGAGTAAGATTTTTTTTAAGGAGCGGGGTAAATTTGTTACTTATCTACAATGTTCTTTGAGATTTTTTGTGCGTTTAACAAACTTAATTGTTACGTAAAATCGATAATGTACATCGAGAAAAAAAAATAGTACATTAAAAAAAATATCAAAATTATATCCGACTTTCAGGTAGTAAAAATAATTCCAATCGAGGCAGTAGCTTCTTTCCGCAAAATCAGAAATCGAAAGAGAAGACTAATCCGATTCTTGGACCGTTTCCCAAAGGTAGGCGGTGACATTCAAGGCGTTTCTAATTAAATCCTTGCATTCTTCGAAGATAAAATTCAGGATACCAAAATTTATTGACAGTTGCAGGAAAAACGGGATTGGTAGAACGTTCCTCGTTGATAAAACATTCTTCACACAAAGTCAATCAAGAAGACGCGCAGAGAATGCAAAATGCGGAACGTTCCAGCACGCATAGCGACAATCAAGCCTTTTTAAATGACGCAAGTATTCGTAAACGTTAGTTTAATTATCAAGACAAACGATCGTGCTGAATTTTACGGTGTTTCCGCGGTACTTTTAGGTGGTGACGCAAGTATTAACTGGCGAAGGCGTTGGTTGGCTCAAATTGAACAGATTAAAGAAGCTGATGGAGGACGAGAATTATCGGGATTTGGTCGTGACGAAGCTGAACAAGGGTCTTAATAGGAAGATTAGTCCGAACGATCACATTGACGATGTGGTAAATTTTAAATATACACAGCTTATTTAAATTTACTTGATATTTCCCTGCCTTGATAAATGAAACACTGTTCAATTATCTGTTTGCTCTAATCTCTCTCCAGCCCATATCGAAACCCGTGTATAAGGGAATGTTAAAGTGCCTTCAAGCAGTAACGCACGGTCTCGCGCATACGTATAATAATTTTGGACTTGGCGGGATGGCTTCTGTCTTCCAACTGATGGAAATCGCTCACACGCATTACTGGAGCAAGGATCTGTCCGAAGGTAGCGGCTTCGACAGCTCTTTGATATCGCAGGTATATAATCTTAAACGCGCTTCTAATGTTATACAATTTCGAATTCTTGCGTAGTATAATTCAATCTTGTTTTATTTTTACTTGACACCTTTATATACATATGCATATATTTGATGTTTGATGATGAAAGAAAGCGCTCGTTTTGCAGGCGTCTAGCCCATTCGGTAGCAGAGAAAATCTGAAATCTCCGCAATCTCCGAATCAGCCTGACTTTATGGATCCCACGCAAAAATCGGGTATGCTTTTTGGCACAATGCCGTTAAAAAAAAAATTTTCATCCACTCTCAATTTTATCGAGGTATAGTTTATTCGGAAATTTCAATTATTCAATTCATTGCGATAAACAAGACCAATTATTTTATATAAACTTTATTAACTTTGAAATAGATATATAGAATTTATGAAAAGAACGTAGTTCAACGGTTTAAATAAATATATAATTGTAAACAAATTAGTAATTAATTATTTTTGCAAATACTATAGAAGTGCCGCAAGTACATTTGGACGCACCACCGGACACAGGCCAATCAACGACGGACATGTTCTTAGACATGTTCACGAAGAAAGGGAAATTCTTAAGCAGACTCACCTCGTTCGACTCGGAGGTAGAGAGAATTTTTCCATTTCATATTAAATGTATTCTAATTTCGATATCCTAAGCTCGAATTTCAAGTTGGCTAGTCTTACTTGGGTGTCACAATGATCCTGCAGGCGCGATCAATAATTATTAAAAACTGATAAAAATACATCTCCTCCCCCCGTCCTAAACAGACGAGAGATAGCACTTCTTTTCTTGTTTTTTTTTTCTTAGAAAATTATTATTCGGCCTGATAGTTTTTTTTTACGCTCTTTTCAAATCTAATAAACGCGAAGGAAGAAAAAAAAACACCACAAAAATGCTCAATTTTCGATTTTAACATGCAACGCACACGTGTTTTGTCATGTGTTTTTTTTAGAGTGGGCGGGGTGGTGGAACGGGGAGCAGCGAAGCTTTATCCACTGACGGAGGTAGCATTATCACTAATCCTGCTTTTCGGCAAGCGCACCAAGCTTCCTTCCGAAGCACCGTGTCTGATAGCGAGGTCGAGCAAGGCAATGTAAATTATCTTGAATTAATATAATCTTACATAGTTGTTAGAAATATCTGGTAGTGAGCAATGCACACCGCTAGTAGCATCGTCCATTCCCGTAAAATATTTTTCCCGACAACGCAATTATAGAACTCATTGGAACTCATTGGTCTGTTAATCGCGCGTTAACGAGTTGAAATCGAATTAAACCTTTAAGTACACACGCCGCGCTCTTTAGGAACGAGAGTCCTTAGACACGTGTCACATCTCGCGCAACAGGAGCTTCCCGTAGTTCCGAACATTCGAATCGCACCGATCGATACCTCGGCATTTCATCAGACAGGAACACTGGACGTTGACAGATCGCATAGAGAATCGTTATCGAAGGGTAACAATGACGCGTTTCGCTGCAGTTTAAATTACTGTGATATTAAAAAAAAAAAAATTAGTCTTTCATTTGTGACGTAATTAGTTTCTTCCCGTGATTCTCTGTACGTGCAAGCAAGTTACCCTTTGACCTTAGAGGTGGCATCGTATCGCAATTACCTAGTTGGAATGCTCTAATCGCTATAATCTCGACGGACGATCTCGATAGAAGATATAGACCGGTATTCATAGTCGGCTCTTATTTCAAGATCGTCTTAAGTAATGTCTTAAGATGCTAGTACGGCTCTGTGATTAGATCTTTTGTGACATCTTAAGAGATTGTATGTACTTAAAACAATCTTAAATATGAGAGTCGATTATGAAAATCGGCTATAATTTCGGACTGTTACTGTTTTATTGAAGTTTTTATAGTTTTTCATCAAAGATCTCCTTATCCCTGGAACGTTATTAACTTCACGCTTACACGGTTTTGTGATTCCAGTTTCCTCGGCAGGGCAAGCAGCGTTCCGGCAGCGTCTGGTCCAGCAAGTCGTCCCTGAGCACCGGATTCCGATATCACGGCGGAAGTTTGATACCTACGACGACGTTACCTAGTCCGGAGACTGCGAGAACGTATCTCTTTGAAGGTACAAGATAAACATTTAGAAAAAGATACGCGATTACTACTGTTGCTGATAATTTCTTTTTTTTTGTACATTTTATTATCTTTTTTATTATATCGATTTTCGAATTTAGGTTTATTGGGGAAGGACAGATCGTCTCTGTGGGATGAAATGCAATTCTGGGAGGACGCCTTCTTGGATGCCGTCTCACAGGAACGCGACATGATGGGCATGGATCAGGGACCCGGTGAAATGGTAGAGAGGTAAAAAAAACAATCTTAATAGATATTCAACAATAAAAAAAAAATGGAAACAAAATGTGCGAAAATTAGAAATAGCCACATAATCTATTGTTTATTGCAAAATTAGAAATTAAAAAATTGCGCGTGTGTTGAAGTTAGTACGTACCCCAACATTAAAATTCCATAGTTCCGATTAAAGTTAACTTTACACACGCAAAAATTGCATGTGATATTGAATTTATTAATCAGTATTATAAATGTAATAAAACTTAGAAAAAAATGATTATTAAAACACGTTGCGCGATACAGATACAAGAGCTTAAGTGAAAGCGAAAGACGGCGGTTGGAGCACGAGGAGGACAGGCTGCTGTGCACGTTGCTGCACAATCTCACCGCCGTCCTGGTGATGCTGAACGTCGAAAAGAACGAGCTGAAGCGGAAGGTGCGCAGACTGCTGGGCAAGAGTCACATCGGTCTCATCTACAGCCAGGAACTGAATCTACTCCTCGACCAAATAAACAATCTCGTGAGTGTTCTGTCGCGCGACCGGTTAATCAACAATCGCGACGCGTTAAAAACGCCGAGCCTTCTTCTTCCTCGCAGCACGGAAACGACATCGATCTGAAGCCCCTGACGTCCCGGCAAATGCACCGGCAGTCGTTCACCGTGCACTCGGGGGTCGACGCCGAGGGTGACCTGCGGTTCCTCGAGGTCCGCCACGACGGCCTCGTGCTGAGATCGGTGAACGGCGTGATAGTCGAGCGCTGGTGGTACGAGCGCGTGGTCAACATGACCTACAGCCCGAAGAATAAAGTTCTGTGCTTGTGGAGGAGGAGCGGCGGCGATACCGAGTTACACAAGTATTACACTAAGAAGGTAGGGGAGGATTCCTGGAAGGAAGTTTAAGTAACGAAGATTAAACGAGTAAATGTTTCGTTCTATCCTATAACGGTTGCAAAAGTTCACCGGAGATAGGATAAAAGTCTTAGAGTGTAATATCGCAAAGTTTCAGACGGTACAATCTTTCCTATTTGGAGAAAATGTCCGTAATCCCAGGATTATAGGATTCCAAATTGATCGGGTAACCAGTCGAGAAATCAGTTGGAGCCGCGTGCTGCGGCGTGGCACCTTTGACGTTAAATAAACGTTAACGATCGTTTTTTCCAGTGTAAGGACGTGTACTATTGCATTAAGGACGCAATGGAGAAGGCGGCAGCTCGCGGGCGAGGCGCGAACGTGGGCTACGAGCTCGGCGGCGAGTTTCCGGTGCAGGATATGCGAACGGGCGAGGGCGGGCTTCTGCAGGTCTGCATGGAGGGCGTCGGTCTCCTCTTCGCGAACAGCAAGGTATGACTCGCACTCGCGTGAAAGCCACACACTCCTTACGCTGTTATCGGGAAGAGAATCGAGAGCTCGACTCTCCTTCTCACTTTCTCTCTCTTTTCTTTCTCTCTCTCTCTCTCTCTCTCTCTCTCTTTCTCTTTCTTTCGAGGATTGCGCATATTATATATATATCTATATACCCCTCTTATACATTCTACGTTCAATTGTTTGTGTCATGTTGGATCGTATATATTTATTGGGAAACTTTGGTTTGAGGATTATTATCACCTTTCGTTATATATATACCTTCGACCGTATTACGTCTCGATTACATAACGTTGCGTCCCCTCTGGCTATCGATGCTGTATCGTTTATTTTTCACCGACGTATCAATGCGTATAATAATGCATTTATTTCAGCGAGATTGATCATACGTTAGAGAATGTATTATGCTATCACGAGACTGAGTTTGTAAAAAAAAAAAAAAAAGGAAATCGTCTCGGTTCAATGATCGCGATCACAGTCTGAGGTGACGTTAATGTCAGCTTTGAAACTCGTCTCGTAATTGCTCGATATTAAACAGTACTTAAAAGGGGGCGTTAATTAAATAAACGACGAAAACATAAAAAAAAGAAAAAAACGACAAATGCCAAAAAAAATTACAGGCGTTGAAATTGAGAATTGAAAATCCCGTCGTCGCTCAACCGCTATCTTTTTGACCATGTTCTCTCGATCGACACTTTCTCTCTCTGTGTATTTTTTTTTTTCATTATTGCATTGATGCAAGGACCACTCAATATTATCTCCCACTGCTAGCCACTACGATCTGCTTAATTGATTTGTATCTCTGTACGTGATTCATCGCGTCCATGTGGGTTAGGACAAGTCGGGCTTGTCAAGGTGGTTTGACCGGTGAACATTCAACCCGGTTCCGTACGAGAGACTCATGCGATACCAGGGTTTCTTTACTTGTGGTTCACGAGGAAACTCGCGAGAAAATTCGTAATCGCAAAGACACATATCGAAACTAGAGAGACTCTCTGCAGAAGGAATGAAGAGATATATAGAAATACACATTTCACACTTCTTCGAAAAAACACTGTGACATGATCATTTACCATGCCATGCGGCATAGCGCATTTACAGAATGCTGCGATCAATCGTGTTTTTCCCTTTTTAACTATGTAGGTTTTCTCTTTGATCACTGAGTCAATTTTTTTTACCGCGATAAAAGATTTCCTCAACTGGATTTTGCTAATATGACTATTGAAATTTAATTTTTCAATTTTATTAAGTCATTAAGATGTTTAATGTGGAAAAGAAAAAGATGGCAAAAAAGTTTTTAATATATAATAAGAATTTAATATATAATAATAAGAAATTGGCTCAAAATTGTGATCCATAAATCTTTGGTTAAAAGAGAAAGTGCACGCTTGAGCGGGGGCATTCTTTATTTGCGTATCTGGGATTCGAAATATGGTCCATTTGTTGAAAAATTTTCAATCATTTTTTAGTAATATTTAAAATGCATATTTTAATAAAAAAGATTATGGCATAAACGAACGGCGGTATATTTATAATAAGAGAACTCTCAAATAATGCGAATAAACAGCAGCGAATGGGTCATATTAGGAATCATCTCCGGGCCAGATGCATATACATACACACATGTATACGTCATACACGTGCACATACAACTCTTCAACGGGAAAAACAATCATTCTGCTCGTCGTTAATCATTTCGTTAATCGAGTTTAATCGCGATCGTTCCCGCGCGAAACGGCACAATTCCGTACGGCTCCGATATCCTATCGGTTATTTTTACTGGATAATATTGTGTTCAGGCGTTATATTAATCAATGTTTTCTTGCATGGAAGCTCGATGTGCAGTTGCAGACTCTTTTATCTGTATTATATATAATTATATATATATATATTACATATTTATATATCATTACATTTATATATACATATATATATATACATAGGAAATAAGGTATAGGGCAATATATATATATACAGACTGTCTTTTTGAACACTACTTCTATATCTTATCATTTGTATTGAATGTTGGATGCTATTATATTTTTTCCATAAGTCTATAACAACTTCTTTATTTGTCGTGGTCATGCGCGAGGAAAGTCTATTCGCGGCTCGAGACGGGAGAAAAAAAAAAGCGAAGAAAAAGAAAACGATGAAGAAGAGAAAAAGAAGATGATGCAACGAAATCGCGAAACGCTACACAAATCTCGCTGTTTACCGGCCACTTACTCCATCGCGACTGATAAACTCGCGGCTCGTTGTATTACTAATTACATTAACGCGAATCTTGCGCGAAATGACGAAATACCCGTGGGATATTACACCCGGGGGATCCGCGGGCGTCCGATTCGGGTAATCGGAATGATAGACTTTTCTCAGCTTGGGGAACTTTTGAGATGGTCCTTGAACAATGAATATATATATATACCTTGCTGTTTATCGATCTGGCCATGACGTTAGGTGATAAAAAGCGTAGCTGTAATATCATCGTGTACAGCTGTATCTCTCTTCTCTCTCTCTTTCTATATATTATATATGCTATACATATATTCTATAACTGAGTGGATAACTGCTGTTACCAAAGGTTTTAATTTTCTGTTTTTCTGTTTTCTGTTTTCTTGTCCCGTCCATCGACATTTGCCCTGCGGCTGGGCAAACAGGATTTCGAGGTATCAAATCAGACTAAGTCATTGTTTGTTATATAAATTCAGTATATGACTATATACTCAATGTTGGCCGTGTTCCGGAGATGCTTATTTATTTTCACCATTACTTTTGGCCGTATATATTATTATTATATATACCATTATACTATATATATATCTACCTACATTCTTAAATTGCATTCGAACTCACTGATCTGCTCTGTCTATCCTTACTGTTTTTTCTACGATCGATCGGTGTTAGTTGTAATATATATATACACGCATATGTATCTCTCCGTTACGATATTGTATACATATCGTAAAGCCGATACCTCTCCAGGTATCCAGTAATGAACGATGAAATGCAGAACAGTGTTTACCGCATTGATCGAAAGTCCGACACAATATACTTTACATATTGTATATCGTTTAGATGAAATATTTGTAAGTAGTGTTTAGTGCAACTTGTAGAGAGCGATGTTCGATGCACACACAATGCAACTATATATATATCTATATAGCCTAATCACTCGTACATAAAAGTCCGTACACAAAGTCATTGCGTCACGATCATCATTTACAGCTTTCACGTTTTACACACCGTGTCTTTTAGTCGCGACTGAGAAAGCTCTTTGAGAAATTTGTTTTGAATGAAATTGTTTTACTGAAATTGTTGTCGCTGTTATCAATTTGCTCGACACGATTGAACCGTGGTAAAAAAAAAATGTATTGTCAATTTCCTCGAGGATCAATGACAAGCATCTTGGCTGATATCTATCTCTATATCTATTTCTAAGTCTTCGAAAGTAAATTCTATGTCCTCTGTATTCTTTCTTTTTTTCGATTTTCAATCGAGATTGAGCGAATCGTAAATCGCAAGTAATGCATCTGTAGAACGTATTCCTATTTATGACTTATGAAAGCCATTTTTGCATAAAATTTCGGGATGTGAATCATTAGTAATGTACATCCGTAATATATCGACATTCCCTCATTTTTCGAAGATGAAAGATTGGGGGTGATATTTCAAGAGATTACTGCGATGATCATTGCATATAAAACTATCGAAACTTCAGGGTTACAAATGGATGATGTTACGCAGAAATAAATTGAAGAAGATTACCCAAACAAGAAAGCATTATGAAAAGAGATTGAAATATTTAATATAATTATTCACTCTATTGAGTTTTGCATCCGCGGACTAATTTTCTTTTCCGGATAATTCGCGGGAGAATTCGCTGTGTCTTTTTGGTGATTCAAGCATCAGCTCTACCAGAAAGAATAACGAAATATTCGTTTGCGCAATCGATGCTGCAGTGACTCTTTGGAACTCCAGATTCTCGATAGATTTCCCGAAAAGTTACCTATATACATAACGAGATACTAAACAACGAAACAAAGAAATCCGCGATTTACACGCTCGTCACACGTTACATCGCTCGGCAATCCACTCATTCTACACTGGTAGTTATGTAGTAGAGCAATGGTTCCTCGTGCTGTCTAGTGATCGTCTATAACGTCTTATTTATACTGCGAACAGGAACATCCTCCTGCGAAGGAAGCAAACGTCGTGAACAAACTGCGAATCTCACGCGAGTCTCGACCTTCTCGCCACGATATTACACTTCTCTGGCATGGGCACTGCTATATAACATAATATGTTTCTTGTTTACGACATTGTACCGACTCCGATATTGTATACCGATTCACTCCCCAAGAAGTGAACATCTGTTACCGCCACACTTTTCCCCTACCCCCTCTTTCTTCTCGATTTCTCTTTTTACCACCCTTCCCCCATGATCGATATAATTATATATATCACGACCGTGCATCATTGTCGATCGTATCACGTCCGCCGGTCTGTATTAGATGAATACAATTGCACATTTTAGCAACTCTCCGACGCTAAGCAATCAGTGACATTTTACGATTGAGTTTAGGCCATCTCCAGAGTTGCCTGCCGCTATTTACGCCTGCCGCTATATATCGCTGACATTGCTGCTGCTGTTGCCTGCGGATGCCGCCGCTGTTTGCCGCCGCCATCGCCGCTGCTAGATCTTGCTTAAAA